CACTAGTATACATGTGATCATACACTCCTAAAGCGGCCAACATTAACTGTAGGCCAACATTTTTGCTGCAGGTTATATGATGCAATGTCTGCAACCTGCAACCTTGCACATCACTACATGAGGAGGCACCCACGTTGGGCCATCATCTAACGTTTAGGGGACTTTGAGCAAGCATCAATGTAATGGCGTAACAACACAACAAGCAACATTATCTGGGTGGGCCCCATATGAAATACAACACCCCATCCCCTTCATTCCTCCAGCAGCTCCTCTTTGCTTTTTCTTTTCTGGAAACCGCTTAAGTACCTCTTTTAGGTATCCATCGTCGCTAACACATTGTACGTAACGGTTATGGTTTTAATCTACGCTCTGGATTACCTATAATTCCAAGTCGTATTGTAAAAATAAAATACTCAAATACATCGTTCTTTTAAGATCTTTATTGCGGTTTGAAACATATTAGATTAGTGTATTTTTTACCAACCATCTAATGAACTATACACAGTGATTAACATAGTAATTAAAAGTACCACTGTCTGCTTTGCTATTGGTGTCATGTTTAAACGGCTCACCATCATGTTGAAATCGGCCAAGTGTTGGGGTATAAATAAGGTTCGGTCAGTCAATCTAGTATCAGGTGGGTTTAAGAGGAATTTTTTGCACCATTACATCTGCAAAGAGACATCCTAGTCCACAATTGCGTAGGGGACCCACCAGGTGTCAGTGACGGGGCCCCTAAGGGGTCGGGGGCCCCTAAGCAACTACAGTCTCTGCTTGCCAATAGTTACGCCTTTGCATCAATGTTTGGCAGTAGAATGTGTTAAGAGAGTCAACTAGCTAGGAAATAAATAAACTTTCAGAGGTGCATATGTGCAAAAAAATGCTTTATTGTTCTTTCTTGCTATCTTAAGATAAAGAGTTCTTTCAGTTATAATTTAATGTAAGTAGGCTACATATTGGGTCCACTATGTCAAAAGTTGAATTTGTAAAATCTTTTTAGTCAAATAACACTAAACTAATATGAACACTATTCTGTATAGTGTAGCAATTCTAGTTAAGAAAGAGATTTGTCCTTGAGTATTAATTGACTTCTTTCTGAATGTTTAAAGTACAAGTTTTGAACCTTCTGTTGTTAAACCATTGAGAAATGTGTTCTTTCTGTAGCTTTGTTCTCTACAGAGGAAAAGGAAGTAAAAAAAAGAGCATACTTGGGAATTTAAGAGATGTGAAACCACTTTAAAGTTAGTGAGAAAATAATGTGCATCATGTGGGCTAGAGAGACAAACAGAAGGAACATAAATTCTTCAAGCACTTTTTTCATGTAGATAATTGATGCAGAGCTGCTGTAAGTAGGACAGGAGTTTATTGCGCAGCATGCTTTCTTCTGTAATTCCCATGTTTCCCTCATCTGTGGTGACGCTCCCTGTTTGAGGTGCTGCAGCTGACGATGTGAAACAAATCCCAGGTGGGCTGATGTACCTGCTGCTGTCACAGCAATGCAGCGTTTGACACCCACTTCCTGTCAGCTGATTCTTATTCCCTTAAGGAAGGTATGAATTCAGCTAAATATGGCACATTATATGTAGAGGGGTGATTCAACTGTCTCTTTTATCAAGATGTAAAAACGTGAAAAACTAAACATTTGAAAAGAAATTTACAGAATAGAGTCACAGTGACAGTTATTTATGTTTAACTTGAATTAGACACATAAAGCTATTTTGAAATTACTGTTAAGGTTTCTTTGAAAGACTGAAATTTATTTTAACTGGCCAATCATTGTCAAAAAGCAAGGGACACATGAATTATCAGAAAGCTTTACTAGGATCCCCATTAATCAACCCTATCATGTAATGTAATGGGTCTTAGAGAGCGAGAGGACAGTATGGACAGACAGATGTCTAAAGTGCTAATTGGGCAATTTGTTTATTCCATGCCAGGTGCTTGGGTGGAGGCTGAAGCATGGCAGCACTCCCAGCGGCAAGCAGTGACCCATTTTTCACCAAAGCAGTCTTATTTTTTTATTTAACTAAACTCAGTATGACTATTTATATTCACATTGTTAAGTAGAGAGGAAGCTGTAGCCTAGTGGCTTTGAGGAAATGATTAGCAGCACAACAGAGGCTGTTCTAGGATCTTAGAAACATCAGGTGGAAGTACAGAGATATAGCTCAAAGTGTCTTTGCTAAATGGTTTGTGTGTGAGGGGGGTCCTTATCATCACAGATCCATGTCCACTGTGCAGCTGGTGGCTGTCACGTCACTGAGCATGTGATCAGCAACGATAGGATCCAGTAGCAAAGATAACCTGATTAAGTACCCATGAAAACTCCATTAATTTAGAAAAGAATTTCTCTATATTAACCCCAACCAACTTGAAAACGTAACTGCCTGCTAAACCTAACAGAGGTCATAAAGGTGATTTTGGGAACAGTAAGACAATCCTTTATATCCTTTTTGTGTTATAGAGATTTTAACTGAGACGCTTCCCTCTTCCACAAAGGTGCATGCTGTATGTGAAAGAGGGAATTGTTTTCAGGAAGGTTCCTTGTCATGTTTTTTTTAATTATTATTATTATTTGGATTCTGGTAAAACAAATCAGGGGTAATTTGTAATTTCCAATGAAAAATTACATTTCTGTTGAAATCAACCTAATGGCACATGGTTTGTAAAGATATCTGCAATACACCTCCAGTCCTGCTGGTGGCAGTAATAAAGGTGCCAGAAAGACAGATTGGGAATATTTAATCTGCAATTCGTTCAAGAAACAAGATGGAAAACTCTAAACCGGCATATATGCTCCTTTTTCTTTGGACCGTTCTTAATCACAAACAATCAAGTTAAATATTAATCATTAAATATTAAGCCCTGGAAATCTAAATACTACAAGTAACGGTCCACCATCATCATTACTCAGCATATAATCTCACTTCTAACCAATCTTGGGGTATTCTTAAAGTCCCATTCCCAGACTGTGAACTGTTCTCCAGGAAAATATGAGCCCAGTAAAATTACTAGCATAAAATTGTCTCTAAATGTTTTGAAAAATCAGGGGAAACTGCTGAAAGTCTCTGCAATGGAAGAGAGGCTATTGAATTATGATGCAAGTAAGATCTTCACTGCTTTAGAGACTGTTCCCTTCAATGTGCCTAATTCATTATGTTAGTCAGATGATTAGATCATTTGATCACTGGTGCATTTATGGAATGCAAATTTTTATTTACTGTCTGAAAGCTGTACTAAACGAAATGTCTTTTTGTACACTTCTGTGTACACTCTGTGTATACAGAATGAGAATGAAAGTTGTCCAAGTCTACGATTAAGTGATTTCTTGATCGGCTGGTCTGGTAGTCATTAGGACTGTTTATGGATACTTTTAAAATGTAATTTTGCCTCTGTCTATTCCGGAAAAACATTGATGAATTTTAGGGCGAATAAAACATACGGCAATAAAAAAAAGAATAGAAAAATTTACCACAAGTTCATCACATTTAGCATGTTGTTAGGTATCAGATTAAACAACACGCAGTCAGATATTTCCTGAAAATTTCTTTAATCTTTAAAGACACCATGTATTTTACCTAAAAAAATAATTTTGCAAACACTTCAAGACAGTAAGTTGGGCATTTTTAAACAGCCTTTTTCAAAGGTTTCTTTAGCCTTTTACTATAGCCAGTAAAACAACATCCTGTTACTCAAGACTGTATCAACATAATTTTTTCTGATCAAAGTAGGTCTAGAGAGATGAGCACAGATGGCTCAAAATAGCTTTGTAGATTAAAATATACCAGTGCCTCAGTCTGCGAGAAAACAAGTCAGACCAACCAACATAAAAATATAGCAGACAAAGGTGTGTGAGTCTTTTCAAATCTGTAATAATTATTAGCAATCAGAATATAAAGGCTTGGAGAGGGACTATAGATATTAATCAAGTCACAATAATCCAGAGCAGATCTAAATATACAGTAGTAGCCTTAGGTTGCTTCTTAGATTTAAATCAACAACTTGACTTCATAAAAATGTCAAAAAAAGACCTGCTTTAAATTCTTTCTTTCTTATTAATTCAATTCAGTTTATTTATATAGCGCCAATTCACCACACATGTAATCTCAAGGCACTTTACAGTTCACCAGATCATACAGTCAAATTTATTCAAAGTTTTCTATCTAAGGAAAACCAGTTGATTGCATCGACTCATTGACTCGAATGCAATCCCTCACACTACGGTAAGCATGTTAGTAGCTACAGTGAAGAGGAAAAACTCCCTTTTAACAGGAAGAAACCTCCAGCAGAACCAGGCTCAGAGTGAGCGGCCATCTTATTAGCACCTAAATGTGAGGTGTAAGCACAGAGAATCCTAACAAGAGGCATACAGCTTGTCAGCTTTACAATTACAGGACAGTCAACTTATATTAGAGTTTAAAGACTGTTGTCCCTTGTCAGTAGAAGCATTGTCTCCACTTTGTAACCTCAACTATAGAGAAAGAGGTGAAGGCAAACAGTAGCCTTGATAGTAGGCTCCACAGGGGCTCTCAGGATGTTCCATCAAGCTTCTTCTTCGCTTCACAATTCTTTCAGTCCTGCATCCTGGTCCAAACCATGTTCAATATCCATCCATGTTCATATTTATCTTAAGGCCTTGTGGTACAACAGTAGTGTGCAGCACTTATGATAACATTTTTGCCAATCAAGAGGAAATATTTGGATGAAATAGTAGCAACGTAAAAGCAGAATAAAAGCAAGTAGAGATAAAAACATGGTAAAAGATAAAACAATTGGACCACAAACGTTAAATAAAAGCTTTATTTTTATCTGTTTTTTTTAATTGAACAAAAAATGTCCTGGTAGTTTGGAAGGAATATAAAATACATATCGCAGCTGTGATTTGACCTCAGAGAGCAACTGAGGACTTAAACTGTCTTTGGATCATTGAATAGCTTCAGCTTTACTGTAAAACCATCATACAGACTTTTAGTAAATGCTCTTTTTTCCTCTCTCTACAGCCCCACCTTCCTTCACAGCGACACCACCGCAGTATGTGGAAGCAAAGGAAGGGGGAAGCACTCTGCTCGGCTGCTCTGCCCAGGGAAATCCAAAACCAATGATCAGTTGGCTTAGAGAAGGGGAGGAGCTTGCATCCAACTCAAAGTACTCGGTGAGAAAATATAAAAGCAGCAAAATTATTCACGATTTACAAAGATACAGAAAGGCTTTGTTTGCAGATAGTCGTCCTTCAAGCCTACTTGTACTTTTTCGTCAATGTCTTTAAATGTATTGATTGGAATTTCTTTGGAATCAATAAGCTATTTGAACATTTTCCATGTTGCATCAAGCTATCCGCAGACTATTTTCATTAGCGTCTGCAGCATAATACTTCGCTGATATCAAGAGGAAAGAAAAATCACTCAAATATATGTTGTCTGGGGGGGGATGCTGCTGCCTCCTTGTGATGCATTTAGAAAAAATGACAACACATGCTAAATCAATTTTATTGTATTATAAGCAGCTACTGGCCTCATATTTCAACCCTCTTTGTTATCTGGTGATGGTGGATTTTTATTTCACTACAAAAAAACCTCTCTAATGTCTAATGCCTGACAGGATATTTCTGGCACAGCCTCACTTTGGTGTGATATGCAAAAAAAAGCCTTTCAGTGACACATCGCTAAATCTATAAACATCAGCTCCTTGGTGCTGCTGTTAGAGAATCAAAGGTGTTTAACATTCAGATGACTCAGAAAAGTGTGATGATGCATTATGGTTACATAGTGTTGACTTGCACTTGCATTCAAAAGCAGTTGTCTTGATCAATATTTTCATATATTTAAAATCTTTGATATAATTTTCATAGTACATGTCTGATACATTTAGGGGGGAAATAAAAAAAAGGGTCAGGATTGAGTTTATGATATTGATATATATATTTTTAAGTCCGAAATAGATAAAAATAGGCAAACAAAGAAACCAAATGTATGACTTTGTTACACGTCAAACATCTTATGCATTGCAAATAGGACACTTAAAAACAATATAGGCAACTTACAGGCTTTAACTTGTAGAATAGAACAGAATAGAAAATCCTTTTATTGTCCAACAAAATTCTGGTTTTTACAGCAGCAAAGATTATAGAAAAAATGGTCACAGAAATGCAGACCTTTATCTTTATCTCGTCACCTTTATCTTTTATAAGAATAACATAGTAGTGAAGAGTTAATAAAATACTGTAACGTAAAGTGTTTTAACAATATAATACTGTGCACCTGGATAATAAATAACCAATATACATGACATTTTGACAGTAATGAATATTTGAAAATAGCAGCAACATCAGACATGTGCAAAATGAGAGCAGCATGTTATGTAACTGACTAAGATAGAAAAAGTGCAAAATCAGCATGAATGTAAAAACTTATTGAGGTTGTTTGGAACAGTGATGCTTATATAGTGTTACAGCTGCTGGGAGGAAGGATCTGTGATAACTCTTCCTGGAGCATTTAGGGTGCAGCAGTCTGTCACTGAAGGAGCTCTCCAGTTCTGCAACAGCTTCATGCATGGCGTGGGAAACATTATCCAACAGAGATGTTAATTTACTAAAGATCCTTTTGTTTCCCAACTCCTGCACTGAGTCCAGAGGGCATAAGCCACTGCTTTAATAGATATTTCTTACTTATTTGGAGATTTGTTAAGGAGGACCAATGCATAAAAAACATGTTGATCAGCAAAATACCAAGGCATCAAAAATTACTTGCCTTTGGCCCCTGACTGTTCATATTTAGTCATCTCTCTCTTTAACTCTTTGTATAATTCCTCAACATTTCTTTGACATATAATTAGCCTAAAAACCAAGTTCAATGTAATGTCGGAAGTTGTGAAAGTTGTGGAAGTGTCCTGATACACTGTGAAGTTATTTTTGTGTTTTTATCAAATTCAAAAGAAAAATAACGTGTTATTATACATTTCAAAGTATAATAACAAAGCGATCATTATTTTTTTTCTCATAATGAAAAAGGTGTCATGGGCGAGCCTTTGGTCAGTCTTAACAGCTGAGGCGATGTTAGGTGTATTGGAATTGAAGAGTGCCCCACTTGTTGTTAATTCTGTTAATTCTGTTGAGACTGGCCTATAGGAACAACCCCCCCGCCATGACACAATTTTCATACCGAGAGAAAAAAAAAGACTTTGATTTTGAGAGAGAAAAAAAAAATTTTTGAGAAAGAAATTCTTTTTGAGAGGAAATGTTTTTACTCTGATAAAAAAAAAAAAGAATATCTGAGAGTTAAAATATATTCTGGAAATCATTTTCTAAATGTTGATTTATCTTTTATTTATTCCATGACAAAAGATTTACTTTCTTCAGTCTCAAATAACATCACTTCTTCCTATCAGTGTGAATATTTGTCCTTTCCAATATATTTATTTTACGTTAAAAGTTATTTTCCCCATTAGGTTTGCTTTTGTGCTTGAATTACATAAAAAAGACAAAAATAACTCCATACTACACAAGATGTCTTTCATTTAGCACAGACTATAAGGAAACACAAATTGCCTCTGATGCCCATAGTTATATAGGTTAACTTATTGATTAAATGAGATGCTACAGTTGACAATAGCAAAGTCAAATTTACAGTAAAGCATTGAGTTTCCATTTCATTTAATGCTTTTCAACAACCTTAAAAAATAGACTGCTGTTTCTACTAAATCTCTAAATGGTTTAGATTTATTTAGTCCACAAGGATGAGACTATTTATTTGGGAGAAAAAGAAACCAAAACTCAGTTTCTTTCATTGTAGGTTTTACTGTATGGTTTTTGTGTGTGTGTTTTTTTTTTTTTTTTTGTATTATCACTCAGGAGACAGTTGTTGAGGCAGGAATGTGATAATAAGTGAAGAACTGCCGAAATAAAAATACATGTTTTACCTGTGTTTTTACTGCTTGAACAAAACAGATTGGGACTATTTTCTAATTTTTCAAGTAGTTTTTGCCTCTCGTATTTGTGTGTCTTTACATTATTTCATCATGTCACTGATATTACAGTCTGGTACAGGCATCATCTGGTCCTCGTCTCCACATTTATAATATGCATCAATGGACAGCATCATATAGAGCCTACTAAAGACCTTATTCCCTTTCTCTTTTATTTTGCTTCTCTGCTCCCTCCACTCGCCTCTTCTAACAGAATTTGTCCGCTAAATGATTAGATAATGTTCTAATGCATAATTAATCTCTCCCTTCTGTATCAATATTACATTAGACAAAAAAAAGAAAAATATATGTACTAAAAGGAGAAAATCTCCCACTAGCTTCTCTGCTTTTACCAAATCTTCTTCTCACTTGTGTTTCTCTCTTAAAACAGGTAAAAGGTCTTATTTGTGGTAAAATAAGAAAATGTGAGAGTGAGCATGAGCATGAGGGTATATTTGCTCACTGTACTGGCTTCAAATCCAAGGAGACGTCATGGAGAAAGAAAGGAATGTGACAGCCTAGGTTAGGGTCCCTCCTCATCTTCGTTTCTTTATGGGCACAGACAAAAAGAGGACACTGAAAGTTGGAACAGACACCATGATGGGACTAGAAGGACATCTTTAAAGTGGAACAAAGAGAAAAACACTTGCTTCCCAGTGTCTCAAAGCCATGTGTTTTGTCTGCAACATAAATATGAAAAAAGTTTCACATTTCTGTCTTAAAAAAAAAAAAAAAAAATAATAACAATAATCACAGATAATACTATTTGCTGAATTTTGGAATAATTGTCTTTATGTTGCTTAATATTGACCAAAACACTTACAACTAGAAATCTTTTAATCTCATAAAAATTTTTAAAGTTTATGTTTTTCTTCTAATGAGGCCAACGTGAAAGGCTCCAAAATCCTTGGCTTTGTCTTTGCAATTATTCACAGATTGCTTTTTACAAATATAAGATTTTACAATTTTATTTGAAATGCAGCCAAACTAAAATTTTTAAATCAATAAAAAAAAAAAAAAACTAATAAAGTTTGTTAATACTTTATTACATTCAAATGCAGGTAAAAAAAAAAAAAACATTCAAAAAGGTTCCGCTTTTCCACAGGTTTTGTTTCTGCTTATGGATCAGACAATATTTACATTTTTGGAAGTAAAACAAAATTAACTACATTTTAGTTTTATGCTATTTTAGTAAGGGCATAAAAGGAGCATTATACCTAGAGTAAAAAATAAGAAAAGTTCTGTCCAATGCATTGTTTCATTTCATTTCAGTCATCCATAGCGTCTTGTCATCATAAATAAGCAACAGGTGTCCCTAAAAGACACCATTAAAACAATAATATAATAGGACAGGGGTCACCAATTAAAAAATCAGCAGGGTCAGAATAAAGAAAGTCATCAACCAGTAAAGGTCCGGAGACATTTTAATTATAATCCGTTACTTTAAACAAAATTTAACTCTAAAATAAAATGAGATGTTTATGCATCCATTTTCTACATTCACTTTTTAAATAAAATAAAATATTTTAAAAAACTTTTTTTAGAGAATTTTTTTTTATTTTTTTTATCTAAAGTGTTTTTTGAAGTAGAGAAAAACAATCATTCAGTTTGGTATACAGACAATTTTCCTGATTCCTGATTCATATATTTCATAAAACACCTGAACACTTTGTTTTTGTTCTCTTTTTAATGCCTTAATGAGAGAAGTGGGCTTTACACTGCATGGGCTTTATCATATTAACAAGAGAAGCAGCGCAAGTGAAGTTACAGTAGACACTGTTGTCAGACAACAAGCCATAATTTATAAATGTTTTAAATCAGGTTGAGTCCGGATTAGTCAGCAGGTGGGTCCGGATCCAGACCGCAGTCTGTTAATCTGTGACCTCTGTAATAGTAGAACGGTGAAAATGGCATCGCTCTGTCACACTATGCATTTTAAATTAGAACATAAAGGAAAATGTTATCCTAAAGAACTAGATTGTTGAAATGTAGTAAACATATAATTATCATCTAGAAGACAAACGTTTGAGTACTACTTCTGAGGACATAGAAACAAAGATTAGTTATACTTTCTGCTCCTTATCAATTTAAACACCAACTTTAGTCATTTTGGTCACCTCACCTACAAAATATATGACCCTTTGTTTGCAGGCATGTTTTGCCTCCTTGATCTAATTTATATGATACAACAAAAAATCAACTTTGCCCCGCTCAGCCATCATATCAGCCATAAATAAGTTTGAACAAGAAAAAAAAAGCCCTTGACATCCGTCAGAGAGTCCATTTTGTTTTATTAGAACTAATGCAAGTTTAAATCTCCTAACTACTTTAATCCCTGCACATGCCTTTGGAAACCTCACAATCCTACTTCACAACAAACCAGTGATTAGTTAACACTTCCAGCACTCAGCATGACGTGTGTGTTGCTTGTTTACAGCAGCTCTGCACAAAGTGTTACCTTGTGAAAGATAGATGATGATCCAGTTTGCCAACAGACTTTGAGAAGTTAAAAGCTGCTTTGGTTTATCTAACAGCAGCTTAGTAAGCATTTGAGAGAAGGATGAATAGGAATTATGCTGTAGGCGTCTCAGATTCCCCTCTCAGACATATGAATGGACAGACTACAGCTGTGAGTGACTTGAATGGACAGAGCCTCTTGCAACTTGTTGCATAATTTATGAGGGTATTCCTTTTTTTTTCCCTCACTGGTTTGTTTTAATGTGTTCCTTCCTTGTAGAGATGCTCAGTAATAGATCGGGATGTTTTCAGGTTTACAAAAGGCTGGAATCAAATTTTGGGGTAAATATTTTAAGAAAGGCAAATTATAGATTTTTTGGATTAATTATTTTGTTCTCCACCATAAGTAGGCACCCTATTGGAGGGGAAGGGTGCTGCCATTTTACAGTACAGTACAAACCACAAGTGCACACTGGAAGGTGGTTAATACGGCAGAATTTTTAAATATTTTTCCATTTGATTTGTTTTATTTCAGAATTTATTGCAATTCAAATTTTTTATTTATTCTCTACTTTAAAGCTTTATTTACTTAAATGACCCCGAACTTCTGTTTGGAGAGATTTTTGAACACTAGATCATCTATATATTTGCCAAGAACAAACAATAACACACACATACAAAGTTTACACTGTAAGTTTTCACAGAAACCTAAACCTAAGCTCCAGAGACTTGATCCTAAAGCTAATTTAGTCCCCTCTTCTGAAGACTAACCCTAATTCTAACAGTGCTGGATGAGAAAGCTAAACCTATGGAAAGTGGATTCCATATGACTTCATTAAATTTCCATTGGGACAACTTCTGATGTGTACTTTTGGCATTGATTATGAAAATTGGCGGCCCCCCCGCAGGACTGTATTCTTTAATAAAATAAAATAAAAATATGTGCAATCTGTGGTATATGAGGTGAAGAGCCATTTTCATCTGTGTTTAAAGAAGAATCATGGTCAAACAAGGCTTCTACTGTTTTAAAGTTATTTTTATACTGTGTTTCTAAAACAGCAGTTTTCATTCATATTAACTAATGTAGTTTGTGTGTTTCTGCAGTTGGAGCTTCACTTTTTAGTGGAATCCAGATGAGAACTTGTACACAGCAATGTGGATATTTCATTTTTAGGAAAATAGTTCCAAATTTAGAACTCTAATGACCTCTGCTCTTGAAATCATTGATATACCAGCTCTACTGAGCTTTAAATCTAGTTTGACATTATGGTAAACAACTAACATAAATAACAGTTACATCAGAGCATAACTGAGCTGAGACACAGAATGATCTGATTCTCTTTAACTTACGTTTGATGCATTTTTTTGGATGGCATTTTGTCTGAAGTTTGATGTAATCCCCTTTCTTTCTGAACTGAAGGTACATGATGGCAGTCTGACCATTCTTGGCATCACCCGGGACGACAGAGGGGCATACACCTGCAGAGCGTACAGTGACCAGGGAGAGGTACTTCATACCACCCGCCTCTTAGTTCAAGGTAATGTCGCCGTGCTGCTTCTTTACTGCAGCAAGACTCGTTGACAAATGCATTTTATTGGATCATCAGACTTCAAGGTGAAAATACCTGTTCGCTGTTCTCCGCTTGCAATCTTGGGTTAGCCGTGCATCAACCCAGCCGGCTTAGTTTCAGCATATAGTCATAAAGGCAGCTTCCTGGTGCACTCATGTGTTAAACATACCTCGTGGGGATGTATCAGGCAGACCAATACTTAAGTGTATAGACAGTCTGTATGAATGCGTACATTCACACAGACAGTCGGTCTACTAGAACGTCCCCGTATGTCTCTGGTCCATTAACCCGCTTCTCCGCTAGACACGGATCAGATAGATGGTTCGTGCTTCCCGCCTGCAGCTCCTCGCCGTCTCCTGATACAGCACCGCTTCAGGGAGTTAACAGTGTGTATTTAACAAGCAGTCGAGTGCCTCGCTTTCATGGCAGAGTGGGCATCAAGTCTATTTTAAAGCTTGACTTCTGTAGGTGCAAACAGGAGAGAAATTACACTTCTCTGTTCACAGTACAGTAAATGCAGTCATACAGCAAAAGCAAACATGCAGACGTCATTTTGTTTTGTAACAAAGAGAACAGTCATGTTACTGGATATACTTACATTGATGCAGTGCTGTGAGGAAGAATTTGCAAAAAAAATCTTCTGTTTTGCTGTTTTATCTTAATTGATCATCAAACTAAATAGATGCTAAGAGTTCATTTATTTGAAGTGATAAGACTAACCGCATTTACCCCCTTAACCAAACAACCAGTTCTGCCAGTAGTCGTTTGCGATCCCTGACAACAAGTCTTTTACATTGCTTTAAAGGGACTGAGGCTCATACATATATGCAGTAGATTGAATTGTTGTTTGAATTGAGCCGCATTGGAAGGTTATCCACCATTAACCAGCTGTCAGGTCATGTGACAGTATTCTACATCAGGTTTATATTCAGACTTTTCACCAAAAACCTCTAAAAGCCTAATTTTGTGAAGTTCGAGCTAGGGCTGCAAATAACGATCATTTTGCAAAACGAATAATCTGACAATTATTTTTTAGATTATTGAAGTATGTTTATTTATTTATTTTTTTTACTTAAATCCAAAAAACACTTTCAGAAAAGCAGAAACGTACAATTGAACATAAGCGATCCATAACAGTTTTCTTTCAGAAAAATAAACATAACACATAAAATAATAAGAACATTTTTTTTAAATTAAATTAAATAGAAAAAAAAAACAAAAACAAAAAACACAGGGGTTTAGCTAAAATATATTGCTATCAAGTCTGAAAACTTTAAGGCCTTATTGTTTTCCAGTAACTTAATCGAGGCATGAAAACTTTTAATATCGTTTTGGAATGCTTGAAAATTTGGAGAAACTTTAAAGAATCTGCACTTGTGGATAAAGAATTTTCCCATAATGAAAATAATATTACATAAAAATTCCACATTTTTATCATGAAAAGTAATGCCAAATTTAACTCCTTTATTTTCAAAATTAGGAATCACATTTTTCGTTGATAGCCAATCATAAATCTTGTCCCAAAAAGACTTAACAACACAACAATTGTAAAAAAAGATGTTCTTGTGTTTCTAGATCTTTCTGACAAAAGTTACATACATTAACATCAAATTTAAAGCTTAAACTTAATAACTCTGCACATGGATATGTATTATTTATAGATTATTGACATATTAAACAGATAGCCAAAGCTTCCTTTTTACAAAATTAAACCGAGTGAAAAACTAAAACTTTTCCACTTGAGGAGTTTCGCATAGAGCATTTCGACAGAAGAAAAATATTTTTTTTTAAATCTGAAATGCAAAATCTTTGTGTATATTTTTAAACATTTTCATATAATTACTGTCATTAAGTGGCTAAAAGCATGTTTTAGAGTCTCTATACTCCAGTTAATGATTAATCGATTTCTAATTTAGTTCACGATTATTTCAATAATCGAATAATCTTGATTTATCGAATTAATTGTTTCAGCCCTAGTGTGAGCCATTCAAATGTGGACTTGCTGCTGTGTTCTGGGTTGTTTTTCTTTAGCATAACCCAAACTGGATTAACATAAGCCCACAGCCATGCAATATTTTATTCAAATTTTTTTACCGGAGAGCAGAAGTCATGGTTCCTAAATCATTTTCTTTGGATTAGGGCATGATGCGTTCTTTTTATCGCTCACATTTTCTGGCAGTTTAATTATGCAATGATGCACATAACCCAGTCTATTTAATCCACCTCTTTATTAGGCATAGTTTTTTGTTATTTCTCTTTTTATGAGGCTTAATAAAATTTATAAGTAATTAAAAAGCACCAATTAAATGTATTAACCTGTTGGCTTTGTTACCTGGTGTGAACGAAGTAATTAAACTTATCTTTCGAACGTCGCATAGAAATGTTTTTTAAGAATGTCTCCTCTGAGGTTTCATGTTTTTAGCAGTGCGACCCCTGAAAAAAGACGTGTTAATGGTGTTAGCCTTTTTTTCCCCAGCCTCTGTCACCAACCAGGCGAGATGCTAATGTTTAATCTGAGGCTTTGTGACTGCCTGTTAACCTCTGTCATATTAATATCAGATTTATACCAACAGGAGCCATTGCTGCAGCACTGAGTGAACATTCAGCAATATTTCAATAGTAAAATACAGAATGTAGATGTTTTCTGTTTTAACCATTGTGACATGAAATGTGACTTTTTTTAATACTGTTGTAGAAATAACAGTCTGATCCCCGTGGTGATGTGTTTTAATCATTCTGTGAGTCAAAGCTTATGTATAAAGCTGCTGATGCTGAAAGAAAAGTAACCAGAAGGTTTGTTTCTGGGATCCATCATGAAAGACAGCTTACCTTTCATGGTTTCTGCTGTTTTATTAAGAGTTTTCAGCAAACCTTCAGCACCTCGGAGTCTGAAGGGGTAACAATGTGAAGCATGCAGGGGCTTTAACTCTGACTACTATTAAGGTCACAGTAGCTGGATCCTTTCTGTGTCTTCTGCCTGACTGTAGTGACAATATTGTAAATAATGTGTAGTGGGAGGTTTTACTCACACTGACTTGTTGCAAAGAGAAAAAAAGTTGACATTTCGTTAGAAAGGAGGCCTTAAAATTAGCTGCTTTTGTTTATGATCAAAAGATGCACAATAATACTTTATATTTTTTATTTATTTATTTTTTTTGTTTAGAACGAACAAAGGCCTCAAATACTCTTGGTTATTGACATTGTTATTTTTATTATGATAGACATCAATCTGAAAAAGGTGAGATATTATTTATATATGTTTATTTTTTTTTATGTTCTACTCAGAAACTAGAGAAAGCACATTTTAAGAGAGTAAATGTAAAGATTTTGTGCACCATATGCTCTGTGTGAATGAGAACGATTTATTTACTGGGTATTTGCTTTTCTTTCTCTCAGGACCTCCGTACATCGTGTCGCCACCAGAAAACGTCACCGTAAACATATCACAGAATGCACGCTTCAACTGCAAAGCCGAGGCCTATCCAGGCAACCTGACCTACACCTGGTTCTGGGAGGAGGACAATGTCTTCTTCAAGAAGTAAAGTTATGATCAAGTTTACTTTTGTGCTGAAGCAGCTGAAACTATGTTTTTTTTTTTGAGGGGGGGTTTACAGATTTGACGCTTTGACATTCAAATCACCAGCTTCCAGACAGCATGAGGTCTTTATCCACCAGCTTTGGTGAAATGAGTGACATTGTATGTCTTTGAGTGGAGCACTGTGCCATGTTTTAACTGCTGTCCAAGTGTGTTAGGAGTGTTTGTGCCCTGTCCCGCTGCGGCACTAGAGGCAGCTAGAGAGAACCTGCCGGGGGTCTGTCTGGAGCACGCCACGCTACTTAGCGTGCTCTGATGGCAGCATCACTTCAGTCAGGCCTGGTGTCATCTGTAGGCCTCATGCAGTGATGATCTGAAGCCCAATCCAGACCTCTACAGGCTCCAAAGTGCTTTAGATCATGAGAGAGTTATATGGCTATGAGAGAGAATGAGTAAGGCTAAAAGAATACAAGTCAAGACTGGATAGTCAAAGAAAGAAAGATTAAAACTTTCTTCCGTTAAAACAGCTTTAGCAGTTTCAATGTGAATATTTCATACACCTTGGAAATACGTTTAAGATATATATATTTAAGTCTAAGTAACAACATTTTTGTTTTTACAAACATAACTCAACAATTCTTATAGAATTGTTGAGTTATGTTTTGAGTATTCTTGATTTGGTTTGGTTTACAGTGTAAAATAGATGAAGCTGAAAACAGAATATTGGTTGTTTTTTGTGTAAACTTTAGTTTAAATTGTCTTCTTTTTTAATTGAGTTTGGACTTGTGGCTTTAGCTAACAGCCTCATGCACTAGTTATTGATGATATTAATGCCTGAGACTCCTTCTGAGTTAAAATGTTCATCCTCCATCCTAAAATGCTAATACTAAAAATATGCACTACCAAAAAATGGTAATGAAAAATAAGTAATTTATTGTTAAAATAAAAGCATTTTTCTTGAGTTGGGGAGGAAGGTGAGACATTTTGCCAATGGAACAAGACAATTTTCATTTAAAATAAGAACAACCAATATTTCAAGCGCATAATATCTAATTATCTTATTTTAGGAGTAAAAAAAAACTACTTTTATTGTCAAAAAAATCTAATTGACTTTATTTCCAAGTTTGAAGACGTTTCGCTTCCCTTCTAAGAAGCTTTTTTAATTCAAAATATCAAAAATAGCGTTTAGTTCAAGGCCTTGTATAGTGGACCAAAGCAAACCCTTGTTTTGGCTTAGAAACATGCAAATTGAACCTGATGCACGGATCCACCCCTTTGGAATGGGGGTTGTTTGGTTTCTTTGTCAGCCTGTAATACCCGAAACCTGTCTATGTCTCTGAAAGGGGGGGTCGTTAAAGGGAATTGTTGGCTTTGCTGAACAGAAGAGGTGCTCTGGTCCCCTGTAATGGGGTGATGTTGTGATGCTAGTGGGAAGGAATCCACTTAATCGCTAAATTGTAGGTTTTTGAAAGCTAAAAACTGAGTCCACCCCCTCTGTTTCAGGTTGGTTTTTCTTTCTTAACATAGATGGCTTCCCTCACACCCCTCTTAAACCACCTATGTTCAAAATATGAACATTCTTGGTCTCAAAGGAATGTCCTCTCAGAGTCTCGTCCTGAGGAGGTCGCTTTTCTGTGTTGGGCCATGCGTCTGTGGAAAGGTTGTTTGGTTTCTTCAATATAAAGATCAGAGCATTCCTCACTGCATTGAACTGCATATACAACTCCGCTCATATTTGGTCTGGGGGGTTTTGTGTTTAGGATGCACTAGACTCTGTTTAAGGGTCTTGTTAGGTTTTAATTTTTTGGACTGATTATGACCTGGATGACTGAGAATCTTCACCCACTAATTTCATTGGCAAATTGTCTTATTTACCTACTCAAATTAAGGTTAAACACACTGAATTTAAGAAATGCATACTTATATCTAGATCGTTTTTGCAGTGTGTAACATAACACATAGTTATATTTTGTTTTATTTGGCTACACCTGATGTCAAATAAAAAATCTAGTTTTATATTTGAGTTGATCTCACTTTCTTTTAACCACCAGTTAAATTATTAATTTTGTGGCTCCTTATTTATACTCACATGATGGGATCCCCCTCTAACCAACCTGTTAGAGAGAGATGAACTGGTTTCCTCCTGCTGCTCCAGTAAGGGGAGATTATCATTCTCAGCTGCTGTTGCTCCTTCTTCACTCATAAAAAACATTTTAATATCCAATACACAACTGAGTCCCCTCCTGTGGCCAGCTATTACCCCCACCTGTGTTTAATGACAAAGACTTCTCTGTCATTGTGAACAAGAGGCAAAGAGATGCCAGTTATAAAGGTTCAATAAGAGGCAAATGATCCTGATGCTAAATACAGATGGACCAAAATATATTATTTAGACCCAAATACCGAGGACGAATATAAGCTTGCCTAAAAAGTAAAAAAAAAAACAAAAAACAATCCACCGGACTTTGTTTTCAAGTGTGAAAACATTTTGCTTCCCACCCAAAAAGCTTTTTCAATTTATTTGTTTTACATTTTTTTCCGTCCTCATTTGTTCATCATTTTGGATAAAGGTTTCGACCAAATATTTAAAGCCAATTCCTTAAAGTTTTTAATAAGTGCATGTAGGTATATTTATAAGTTTGAAGGAAGTATCTATGTTCTGGCTTTTAGTAACATATAAATATTTATAAAAATCACAGATGACCTCAAACAGTACAGGTTTAACATCAGACAATGAGAAAAAAAGAGTTGTTGTTTTATACAGCATGTGGAAACACTTGGTTTTAACTGCATGTTTTGTAATTTCTTAAAAAAAACTAACTTATAAGCACCAGTAATTACTCTCTATTAGGAGACAATTAAAGAAAAACTAACAAATGGCATGTGGTATAAGATCATTGTGCAGATTTTAAATGGTATGTTTATTGGGTTACAGAGATTATGCAGCATTGCTGCTGCTGATGTCAGAGAGCAATTAATGGTGTGAAACTGTTCCTGTGATTTACTGTTTTTTTAATTCACTGCTATTTATAGCCCAGTCTGTAGACCAACTTTCTGCCTAATTATGAACCTTACAGAACATTTATTGGAAGTGATCATATCTATTGCCTAACACAACACTAATGGCATGAAGCCCATAATATAGAAAATATTATTCAGACTATTTCTGCAGTTGTTCATTTTCATTTGTTCATACAGTTTAAAAGAAACACCATAAAATATACACACCAAAGCTATCTGTGGCACATGTAACATTTAAAATATATGTCTATTAACCAATAAATAAATGAAATTTTGAATATGGGCTAAAAATGGATGCAGCTTTGTTCAGCTCCAGATCCACAAGAGATTAGGAAACATCTGTATAATGGGCTGATGTAGCCAAGACATTACAATTGGTTACCCATAATAATTCTTAAAGATAGGTGTGATGCTTTCCTGGATTGTTTGTCTTTCTTATTCTGTACATTATTTTTTAACTACAGCTGGTAGGTGCTTCAATAGCAGCGTATACCAATGCAAATGTTCCCACAGGTATTAAATATAAACATTTAATGAACTCAATGCCTAAAGTCAATTGTTGAAATAAAATAATTAAATTAAATGATCAATAAATCTACAGTAAGATAACCCAGCTAGCTACCCTTGTTAATATGATCAGTCCATACTGAACAGACTCTGGATACCTTAGCTACTAATAACATTTGTGCAGCTAACCACGTCACTCACCAACGCATCTACTGTATTTCCTTACGGCGGTTAATATCGGCAACCATGAAAAAAAAAACTATCATCTGACTTATTTAAATATGCAATGATATTCATTTGATACTTTGCATGGATCATTTATGGTTTAATTTGAATGCATAGAGGCAAAGTCTTATATTCAAACTCTGAAGTAGAACTAGAGAATTACTCGGTTTTAAGCATTCACATGGTTTTATAAATTATTTGGTGTACAACATTTTTATCTGTTTGGCATAAGCAGACTTTTAGTATGGCTCCTATGCATTTAAAGTTTTTTTAAAACTGACATCAAAGATGAGGATAAAAAAAATGTAAATTTTTAACACTTCAATATAATGACATTAATGGCATCTCGTGAAACACACTGCTTAAATTATTAAATGGAAAAATCGTAAGAAAACTGCTAAGATGTTTATCCTTCAGAATAATTTCTTTAATTTGACACAGTCCACCACTCTAACAATTTTGTGCATAAAGAGCATAAAAAAAATAAAGAACCATCATAGCATTGAAGATGAAATACTTTCACCAGTTTAGGTATAAAAGTCTTTTGGATGGAATTTTGCTATAGTAGACTGTAGTATAGTAGACAACCTAGCTTATATCATAGGGAAAGTGCAATTTTTTAATATATCAAAAATCTCAAACTAGGTTGGGCGCATTAAGTCCTTTGAAATGACAATGACCTTGAAGGATGACTAAATGAATAAGTTTATTTGTGTATATATATATATAATTCAGTGTCTGGAAATGAAACTTAGTTAATCACATCCCTTCTCTTTCTTGTTGTCCTCCTACAATCTTGATTCCCTACTTCAATTATGTGTCAGTACTAATCCAAAGTCCATTAAGAGACGAAATAAATTAAATTCTGTACATACTCATGGCACAAATTCCTGCACACATCTTGATTCATACAGTTATTATTACCCAGAGTCCATTTTAAAAAAATGTGAAAAAACTGAAAGGGTCAGTCTCATTTAATGCCACAAAAAAAAAGAGTTGTCCTTCATACTGTGTTTAACTAGTTGCTAGGGTTGTGTTATACCCAGTCCTTCTTTGATTTATGAATGATTAAACCTGAACTTTATAAAGAGTCACATTAAATGCAACAAAATAAGCTTTTGCAATTTAACATGATGGCACTAAAACATTTATTTATAACTACAGTCAACTTCATTCCTGGTGGAGGTCTCTTTTATTAAAAAAGGGTGAATATATCTCCATTTGAATGTAATGGTGTCTTTAGCAGTAAAGACTTTCCAGCAGGAAATTGAAAAGGCGGTTCCATTTTGCAGATTCATTTGAATCTCTGGCTTTGTACACTCTGTTCTCTACATCCTTCACTGCTGGCTGTTGTTTGACTCTCTGCTGCTCTCTTATGGCTCTTTAATGCAGTGTAGCACTAAAAAAAAAAAGGATTAGATATATGCAGTGTCCTGCTCTGTTTCAGAACATGTATGTCTTCTTGCAGTGACTTGAAGCTCCGAGTGCGCATCTTCGTCGACGGCACCCTCAAGATATTCCAGGTCAAGCCCGAGGATGCTGGGAAGTACACCTGCAGTCCGAGCAACAGCCTCGGTATCTCACCGTCAGCATCAGCGTACCTGACTGTTCAGTGTGAGTGTTACTGTGGCAACCGAGCGGAGTGGGGGGGAGGGGTGGGGAGGCGGCAGAGCGAGCTGTGTGCGGAGAAGGGAACGGAAGCAGCAGTGGTGGTACGGAGGCTGTAGTTTTTGGCTGCTCATTGACTGAACTGAGGAGGATCCTGCATAGAAGTGAAGGTCAGGTGTCACAGGGAGGCAGCAGAGCCATTTTCCTACATCTAATGAAATCACTCCTCACAGGATCCTCGCCTCCTTCTTATGACCTGAGATGGACGACCTTATCCTTAGACACCATTTCTTTCCCTCTCTTAATGCCTTTTTTTCTTGACACTTGTTCAAGTGTGTGAAATAGTCAAATTCCTCTGCATGAGTTATCACTAATTGATAAATAACATCACGTCTATATTAAAATATATCAAGTCGTTACGTCACCATAGTGAGGTTTTTCTGAGACCCCCGTTAAAAACACATTTAATACAAAAACATGAGTTAAATCAAATATGAAACGAGAATAACAAACAAACTTAGAGGAGACTCAAAGATGTACAAACAAGTGCACATGTTCATGGATCGTGGTTGTTTCCTAAACTTCACAAACATGTTTGTGGGACGGATCGCAGAGCAGTTGTTTGTGATGAGAGTGAAGAGGGCAGGGCGGGGAATGTTCCGTTCTCCGCCCTGCCCTCTCCACTCTGTATAAGACATCTAATCTTCAGTCTTTGTGCTACGTTGAGCTGATTTACTCCCAAGTCACTACCGGTCATTGATTATTGTGTCACTGCAAGAGAGAGGGAGCAGAGTTCTGCAAGCCCAACATGGAGGGACCATAAAGAAATAAGAGTCCTGGATGCTAAAGAGGCTTTACACGAACGGGATTGCTTGAGAAATCTTCTGCCGTTTTCCTTTGTACCAAGAACTGGACTCAAAGGACACATTCAGGCACATATTGAGGAAATACTCATACAGTCTAAGTGTTTTTTGAATAAAAAAAAAATCTTACGTTGTGCACAGAGGGACATTTTTTGCACATTTCTCAGGCTGTAAAGCTTCCCCACATCAGGCATATTCACTGATGGCCCTGAGTATTTCTGTCTGCCATCGCCTATTCTTCACTTCAACTAATCCCCCTTTCAGCTCATCGTCCCTGTATCTTTATATCCGTTTGTTACAGACATAAAGTCATCCATTTTGGCTTGAAATAAAACTACAATTTAAGAACTAAAGAAGAAAAGTAAGACATTTTTTGGGAGTAAATCTGTTTTTTTCTAAGTGTATGTGTTTCGTCTTATTCATCCAGAGTGCAGCTACAATTAAACACTCATGCATATTTGATTTAAAGACTGATAAGAATAAGAGTATTAATTAGGTTCCCTCCCCCCAAACGCACACACACACACACACACACACACACACACACACACACACAGACACAAAAGTCTACTTAACCGCATTCTCCTTTGCCTATGATTTTATTTAATAATCTGCTGTTTGCAGAAATATATTTTTTTGTCCTGCAAACAAGTCATAGATTACTAAACTTCAAAAATGTTGTTTAGACTTGGTCTCCAAATGCCAAACAGTGAACTTCTTTAGTGGGAAAGTCATTTATGATGTCTTTAAAGTCTAACCTCTTGGCAAGCTGATGCTCTATAGGCAGCATTGCTAATTGAAGCTTTCCTAGGACATCCTAGAGCGCAGGTATGTTTTAATAATCTTAATTTTACTGAAGGCTTGCTCACCTCTAGCCAGTCACAGGTAGAGATAGAAAAATACATAGCAGGCTCTTCCATTTCAATTAAAAATGTTTGTGTGCACAGTTTCTTTGATGCCCTGGAAAACCTTCATAAAGCTTTCTGTATTTTAGAATGGATATTTTCATCCAATCTATTGAATTTAGTGCAGTATTTGATCTTTTCTGTACTTCATAGGAGAACAGCAAGTACAGCAAAATATTGCCTTTTTTTTGACCTGCTGTATATTAGCCAGGCCTTAACAATTTTTTACGTTTCACTGTGGGAGGTAGAATAATTTAGATACTTTGGAAATTCTCCACCCACTGAATCTGCTGGCAGTTCATTTGCCATTTCTGAGAAACACTTCCTTTTTGTCATTACAAACATTCATTCAATCAAAATTAGTCATTTTTGTTGGCCACAGCCATTGAAATTATTGGCGTGATCCGTCTCTGAGCCACTATGCTCGGACTATCCGAACAGGCAGCAAGCCCCTCCACCTGCACTGTGCAGGGAGGGATGGCTCTCTGTCTCCTCCTCAAACACACGCTGTCTCTCCCCCGCCTGCCGAAGCTGCAACAGGAGAACCTCTACAATGTCCTCTTTATGCACCTCTACCAAATATTTTGCTCTTTTGGCGCTAAGCTCAAGTATTTCTGTAAAGGAAAAGGTGTTTTCCCCCTTACACTAGCAGAAGCTATTCTTTAAAATCACAGTTATAAACGCATTGCTTCTTACCTGTCTCTGAATGAGCATCATTGTTTTGCAATTTCTTTCCTGGACGTGTTCCTGACTCATCCTCAGTTTATTTTTAATATTTACTCATTAAAACCCTAAAGCCTTTGGTCACATCTTCCCTTTTTCTCTTATTTTTTTTGGGGGTGGGGGGGTTCTTTTTAAAAAAAAAAAAAAAAATTACATATGCCTAATGCAGATATATATTAGTTACTATAATATTTCATATTTTCGGAAAAATTTACTTCTGCCTGTATTTTTAATGATCAGAGTGTCAATTTTGGGCGCCTCTGTCCTGAGACATTTGACCCCCTTGCCACCCCTTGTCGGCAGGCATGTTTCTAATGATGAATCAATGAGATAATTTGTTTTAGGAAGCTGAGAGAGAGAGCATTACCAAAAAAAAGGATAACTTTGACCTATTCATCTTTCATAAATTTTTCCTGCATGATCCTTATAATAGAAGTGTATGCTGCATCACTATATGTTGTGATAAGATCTTGTTGTTTTTTTTATAATCAAGAAAAGTATTTTGTCCAAACGACGCTTTGTCAAATCCACTCATGACTCTTTAGGTATTTCAGATAAATGTGTTTTTTCCTTGTCCTGACTTAAATCCAATCTATCAGCTGTTCCATGTAGATTTGTCTAAAAAAAAAAAAAAATCTAACTCAGACTACAATTAATGTTCAGACCCCGCCCGAGTGATCAACATGCCCCCTGTCATCTACGTCCCACGGAAACTGCCAGGTATCATCCGCTGCCCTGTGGACGCCAACCCGCCTGTGACATCAGTGAAGTGGGAGAAAGATGGCTACACACTCAGAGTAGAAAAGGTCAGTTACTCCTGTCACAACTCAGGATTAAGCTGGGATGTTCCCGCCTAACATTACCACTAAATTATTCAGTAGTTTGCTCTCAGGAACATCTCCTTAAATTCAGTAGGTTTTATTATTTAATGTTAATATTAATGCTCAAAGATCTTCTGATCATTTTTTTAATTTAAGTATGTAACCAGGAATAATTTCTTTTAGGAAAAAAGCAATGAAAGCATATTATATGCTAGTTCTCCAGTGGTGTAAAAACAAGCTTTTTTACATGCACTGTTGTTAATACATTCATTTGTAGATTTTATGCTTTGTTTACTCAAACAGCTTTTTATAAACAGAACAAAATATATAATTTTACTGTATTATGTGGCTAAATTTAAGACAGATGTCCCATCATTCACAATCTACTGGCAGCCTTTCGTTTTGAAAAGGTTCATCTAAATGATACAAAACAGAAAACCTGCAAAGTTGACCTGCATAGTTAGATGTAATTTATTTTACTTCAGATGCACCAAAAAAATCTTGTAAAGTCTGTGATCAGCAAAAAAAATAAAACTACCTGCCCTGTAATACGCCATGTCACGTCAAGGTAATTAAATACATACAGGAGCTCATGGGAATATCTGAAGTGCAGTTAACCGTCTTCGATTTTCAACTATTAAACTTTTTGTAGCCGACAACCAACCTACATTTCTGTAAACTATAATACATCACTGATACAGCAAACATTTTGGGTTTATAGAACAGAAGTTTATTGACAAATAAACCCAATAAAATAGGAAAAAAAAAAAATAGAGTTGGCTGACTTTTATTTGTGTGCCTCACAACAAAAAAAAGCACCACATTATTTTTTCAATGGTTGCTAGACTGCTTGTCATAGAGATCCACTATCTCAGTGAGTGATACATTTATGTGGTATAAAAGCTCTAAACCAGGGGTCTTCAATGTTCTCCAGGCCAAGGACCCCAAAACTGATGGCGAGATGGAGCGGGGACCCCCTAATTATATATCGTATAAAATTGTGTTATATCAAACTGGTCCTATAGTCACTCTATTACACATGGAGTAATGTAACGGAAGTAATTTCGCTCTGGGATTATTAAGGTATTTCTGATTCGGATTCCTGGTTGATGGGACAGGTGTTGTGAATGAAACGGGGCCCAGCTTGAAAGAGCTCCTGTGTGTCACTGAATGTGTGCATTGATGACTGAAAGACATCTTCTGCCTCCATTTTTTTTGTTTGCTACAGTGTGTTGAATTCATGTTAATGTGTAATTAAAGACATTTCAATTAGTGGAAAAAAGTTGAAAGGGGGGATTTAGAAAGAAATCTAATCAAAACCTAAATCTAGAGTAAAACTTTTGCGACCCCCACGCAGTACCTTCGTGGACCCCCTAGTGGTCGCGGACCCCTTGTTGAAGACCTCCGCTCTAAACTATTGAAACCAGTGACTAATAATACTGCTAAAATTTCACATATGCTGAATTTTAATTAGGAACAAAAGAATTAAGCAACATCTCCCCACCTCTGTAGAGTTCATCTTTATAAACTAATATGTATCATATCACAATTTATACGATTAGGTTGAATCGAACAAATAAGGCATCACTTTAATAGCCGATGTAAAAATCAACTTTACTTATCAGAATGTTGTTTTTTTTTTGTGCAGTTAAAAAAACATTACAAGTTGGGACCCTGAGAGTTCAGGGACACCCTATCTAAAACTAGCCTTTCAGATGCCCCTCTTGTCTTGTAGTACCCTGGTTGGAGCTTGATGCCAGATGGAAGTATCCGGGTGGCAGAGGCCACAGAAGACTCCCTGGGCACCTACACCTGTGTGCCTTACAACGCCCTGGGTACAATGGGCATGTCCCCCCCTGCCACTTTGGTGCTAAAGGTAAGCCTCCACTATGGTTTTGATGTGTCTTCTCTTCATATTCTGCTTGGTTCTGAACCAAAGTCTGCTTAATACATGTTTTCATCAAGGATCCCCCTTACTTTAATGTGAGGCCTGGGGGGGAGTACCGTCAGGAGGCTGGAAGAGAGCTAGTAATCCCTTGTGCTGCTTCTGGAGACCCCGATATACCAACCATTACCTGGAGAAAGGTAAACACTCCAGCTCAAAAAGAAAATACTTTATCAATTTCTACTTTTACCCATCATGCATGAAGTGTTTGATTTTCTCACGCCGCTTGACTATAGTTCTTTAATTTTTTTCTGTCAATTCAAGGTGGGGAAGCCAAGCAGAAGTAAACACAACATTCTACCCAGTGGCAGCTTACAGTTTCTATCGCTCAGCAAGGAGGATCATGGAGAGTGGGAGTGTGTAGCCACCAATGTGGTCACAAGCATCACTGCCAGCACACGTATTCTAGTCATCGGTACTGACACAGCGCCTCAGTTTACCTCAGTAACTTAACAGTTCCTTGAGTTCATGGTGATCCTACTTTGCTGTGTGATTTCATGGTGTAAATATAAAATATTCTACTATTAAATGGAAGTGATTAACCAAATCAATATATCTTAAGTTCTATCAGGAAAGAGATTATATTGCTTCTCCAAGTTTTTTTTTTTTTTTCATAACTTTTTTTTTACTTGTTATATAGCATTTTTGCTATTTTCAGTTCATTTTGGTTTATCTCTCACAAAAGGGTCTTTCACCTAATGAACAGCATTTAGCTGTTTTGCTTCTTCACAGGGCAGTCTTGCCACAGACAAGTCTGGTGGTGCTAGACTATTTTCTACACAACACAACCTTAAAATTATATGCATTTGTACAAGAAGGAGGCAGCTGGGACTAAGTTTAAAAAAAATATCAGTCCATGAATGTCTAAGGACTTAGCAGGGGAGCCACTTGTGTTGGCTGGCAGTTATAATGCACAACATGAAAGATGTTTTCCAATTTGTAAGATTTACGAATCCTTCATAATGTTGAATTTAGAGATCTTGCAGTTTTCTTAAAATCTCACATCATGAAAATCCGTATAAAAATTTAAAAGCATAAAATTGTAATCTTTAAAAAATATAAAAATATAATTTGCATCATTTTTGATATGTACTAATAGATATCTGTACTACTGCTTTCAATATAAGACACTCTGTATTCGTTTAACTGTACTTTGATTTTTGATGCCTCCTTTTAGCAAAGACCTTATATGTTACGTGACATAAACATTGTTATTGGGGGTAGGTTCTTATAAGTTCTTGAACTTCTACTTACTTCTTTCAGTGCTACTAAAATGTCTTAACATCACAATGTAAATCTTGCTTGTATTTTTGCTCAAAGAAATTGAAATAAAATCAATTAAAAAATTAACATCATACAAATAGTTCTGCTTACTGACTAGATATTTTTTATATTTTAAAGTCAAATTATGCTAATACTGCAGCTTGTTAGCTTTGGGTACCTAATGGAGAGAAGTTGCTCAGTTCAGTTAAATTTGAACAATTAATCCCTAAGCGGAATTAAACGCTGTAGTAATTCATGGGTTTTTCTTCAATGGGTTGTTAAAGGTGTTGATTGCTGTAGGAAGGAAGGATCTTCTGTAGCAGTCTGTTATGCTCTCGAACTGTAGACAGCTTACCGCTCTCCATAATGTTTTTTACGTTTGTAAAAATCTCATTTGTGATATAATTTCCAGAGGTTCTAGAACAGAGTAGGCTTTCTCTTTCAGTTTGTTCATTGGGTTAGCTAGGTCTGACCAATAAAAAAAAAATGACATTCCCTAAGGAAATAGAGAAAAATGTCAGTTTATTACATGATATTTTACTCTCAGAGTATTTCCTTATGTTTGGTATAGAGGTGAGACAGTCAGTAAGCCTGCTGTTTGTTTGCCTTCTGCTTCTTGCACACCTACCTGTACAGTATCATCCAGTTCTACAGCTGGCAGCGTGTATCTACTGTATTAGGCCGGCCATCAGCTCACCTGAGGTCACAGGGTGGCACTGCAGCTGTGCTCCTCAGAACACATCAGGTTTTGCCTTAATCCTGGTGAAAGTCACTGACTTCAGGGCATTGTACACAGCTGTTGTGTGGGTGGGATGATTGTGACCTCTGGCTGGTACCAATATCAGGCAGCATTACACTAACAATTTCTTCCTGTAAAGAAAAACTGCAACTGAAGTATTTGTGTTGATATTATTTTCACACAAAAAACAGCCATCTTAATAAAATAAAGATTCCTAGTTTTTAAATTGCAACATTTTAAAGCGTTCTAACTACAGTATGTTTCTGTCTCTGGAAAAAAAAAACACTCAGGCACCAGCCCACACGCTCCTGGCAATATCCACGTGTTGCCATCTACGACCACTGCAAATGTTTCCTGGGAACCAGGCTATGATGGCGGCTTCGAGCAGACATTCTCAGTGTGGTATGGTCCAGTGTGAGTGCCCTTACTCTTCTACTTAATGCTAGTAGTGTGCAGCAGGGAAAATTAAACATGCTGTAAGGTTAGCAGAGCTGTCTGACAGAGCGTGGATGCCGTTCCACACTCAGAAAGATGACAGTGAATGGATTCCCTCAGGACCTGAGAGCTAAACTGTTCTGATGACACAATCTCACTGAATATTGTGATGCAAAGGTCCAATTTCTGAATTATGCCATTAATGTAATGAGTGTAATGCAGCAAACTTGTAAGAAAATGTTTTTGCTGAGCTTACGATCATTTTAAGAAAACTAAATCTATATTAAAAGGATTTCAGGATGGATTAGTAGATTAGTAGATCTCAACTGATTCACTTTTTAAAAGACTGCCTATACGAACAAAATGCAAAAAAAAAAATTGCTTAAATATATATATATTTTTCTTTGTGGCTTAACCTCCTTTAACTTTTCTTAGAGCTAAAATTAGGAGTTAAGTTAAAGATATAGTGGAGGATGTTCTTTTTCTGGGTGGATCATCAAAATAAGTGGTCCTCCTAATTGTCAATCATTCTGCTGATATGTTTACGTAAGGCCGCCTACGCGGTCGTCCCCACTTTCACTTAACGGTGGTGAGTCTGACATAGTGGAAAAATTGCAAATCTTCTTTTGGAAAGTACGCTTGTTTGAGTGATGCAAACAGTAACTTTTAAACAGAGCGTGCACGAGGAGAAATGGGCTGGTGCACGCTCTCGCACACTTTTAATAGACATTCCCTCTTGGGAGTGGGTACAGGGTTGTGCATGTGCATTTTTTTTAAGTGCAGTGGGTGGGTCTTTTCAAAAATTCGCAAAAACCCTCCACTATACCTTTAAATGTAAAGGTTCAAAACCAATGAATTTGATGTGGTCTCATTTTTTTAAATTAGTACAATATATTACCCCATTTTTAAAGTTTCTTTTTGTGTTTCTGTTCTCAGGTCTAAGAGAACAGACTTTGGTCCTCATGACTGGCATTCGATGCCTGTTTCTGGTGCTCAGACCTGGTTGGTGGTGCCAGGGTTGGAGCCTGGGACAGAGTACCAGTTCAGTGTGTTGGCTCAAAACAAACTGGGCACAGGTCCATTCAGCGAAGTTGTGACGGTCACCACCGCAGGTTGGCTCTCCTGATTAAAGGTTGTTTAATTGCTGAGCATAAAGTAGAGGCTGTCAGTTTCATTTTTAGAGTATAACTGAGCTCAGTAGCATACTTGCTGCCCTCTGGAAGTAAAAAAAAAAAATCCTTGATGTTGTTTCAACTGCTGCTATTTAAAGAAGATTTTGGCTTCAATGGCTAATTTGCTTTAATATCGTCAGCATAAAAATCAGTTTTATGTTTCAGTGACTTCTCTGGGTTCTTATTGTACTTTCTATGATGCACTTCATTTGTTACTGCTAACAAAGTCTGTTAAATGTTGATAAAAAGTAATAAGCAGTACCAAAATAAATGAGCGACTAGACCTCACACAAACACGTTAGCTAAAGTCCACTATAGAAAAGCATGTGTAGTGTGTATATTTTAGGACATCCTGAAGTCTTAGGAAAAAAGTTGTCCGGTCTCAAAAAAGTTAAAAACTGTCATTTCTCAGAAAGAATTAGGACAGTTCAGCGCAGTAATGTAATGAGTCTAAAATCCCAAAATAAACTTTTAAGATGCTTCTAGGCAACACTGTGGATTTGTTGAACTCAAACTAAAGCTGAACTCAGCTGGTCAAGATTTTCCCTAATTCAAAATAAAAAGATTTTTTCTGAGAACTGAACTTTTTTTAAAATCTTTTTGACACCTTTTTACAAAAATGTTACATTTTTTCTGCGAGCTGAAAATAAAGCATAGCTGCACCTTGTGACATGATAGTGACCAAAACTTAGCCTTAAACCAAGTTTAATTTTTGTCGTAAATATGTTTTGATAAAGAATTGAATATTAAATAAGTGTTTTATTTTTCCCCAGCATTTCTTAAAGACAACATTTTTGTTTGTAGAATATAGTTTTTTTTCCCATGTTTCATCCAAAAATGATGAAGTCATATTAACTTTTTGAACCTTCCTTTTTTATCTGATGGAGTTTACCTGATTACACCTTCTTTCTATGACTATTGAAACTTTAAACCTTCTTGTTCTTCTGACTTTAGTTTTTGAAGTCTTCTTTACTCAATACGTCGGTAAAACCCAGACAGTTTCCGTTTTAAGAGGTTAAGAAATAATTACTGCCTTAGTTACTGAAAGGAAAAGAAAGGCACTTAGTATTGCCAGTCAAGCTTAAAACACACTTTGAAAACGACTCTCCAGTCACCCTCCAAACAATTTATGTTGTGATCTTTATGTCAGAATTTTGAAGTCTTTGTTTTTTGTTTGTATTTGACATCTTTATTTTTAGTTTATGTCTTATCTTGTTGCTCATATTTGTTAGTGTTGGGCTTTCTAGTGTATTCTTAGGTCATTATATTCAGTTTTTTTTATTTATTTTAGTTCTGATCATGTTTTGTTTCATTTGTTGCATTATTCATGTTGTTTCCACATTTTTGTTTTCATCTTTGCCATGTTCTGTTAGTATGGTTCCATTTGATTCTTTCTTCATGGGTGAACATTGTTTACTACGCATTGTTTCACACTAGGCTGCTAGAATGAACTTATCTTGCTCCTTCATGTTGGTTTACTTCCACAGACTTCACAATGTCTGTGTTTTATTTAATTTTAACAATATCAACAAGACTGTTTGTGTTAAAAACAGAATGCTAAAAGTGTATTTCTCTTTACAGGCTCTCCTCTGGGTACCGCTGAACCTCTGGTGCTTCTTACTCCACCACGGTGCCTCACAGCCAATCGCACGCAGCATGGTGTCCTCCTTACATGGCTACCCCCAGCTAACCACTCCTCACCTATTGACCGATATATCATGGAGTTCCGCCTCGGGGAGAAGTGGGAGGTTCTTGATGACTTAATCCCATCCACTGAGACTGAGCTGGTAGCAAGAGACCTGGTCCAGGTCAGTTAGAAGATGAGTGCCCTGGTGCTCGTATCTCTTTTTCCCCCTGCAAAAAAGTTGAAGATAGCATGAGACAGCAAAGAAATCTTTGGATTTCTACTAAAGACATTTAACAATGTATGTTTGTTTCATGACTGTAACAGGAGTCCTGGTATGAGTTTCGGGTGATTGCGGTCATGGATGACCTTATCAGCGAGAGCAGCAATGTAGTAGGAGTTTCCAGCACAGGTCAGGGTTCTTACACAGCGATGCTTTGCCCCTTATGAGGACTCTCTTTTTGAGGTCTTGCGCCTCTAACAACTTTCTATCTCCTTGGCGGCCTCAGCAGACCCCTTCCCTGCTCCAGAGTTGCCCGAAGAGGGGCTGGCACGCCCTGTGGTGGCAGGCGTCGTGGCGACCATCTGTTTTCTGGCAGCGGCGGTACTCTTTAGCACTCTTGCCGCCTGCTTCGTTAATAAACAGCACCGTCGAAAACTCAAGCGTAAACCAGGTTGGATTCTCTTTACTAATACTAATGTATGTGTTGTGTATGCAAACACATGTGCTAAATACAAGCTTTTCTAATAGACTGTGCTTACATGTCAGCTTCTTCTGATTAATCGGATTTTGACTATTAAAAAGCCAGAAAATGAAAACTTTTCAATCATTTGTTTAGTATTTATTCATAGCTTTATATATTGATTAATGTGTTATGCTGAATTGCAAATGTTTAATATTATGAAAACCTTTAGTGACAAAATATCACAGAAAATATAGTTATTAGAGCTCAAGCCAAAGATTATTTTTGTGGTCCCTCTGAGTCTAAGAATTCTGTGGACAAAAAAATAGTTCTCTTCTAACTGAGGGATCAGCGCTTATGTCTCCTCTTCTGGTAGTGACAGCTGTCAAAAATTCTTTAGTTAGAGAATAAAAAAAACAGAGAACCTAGGAAGTAACTTTCGCCACCAGGTCAAAAACAGGCCTGACAACCCTCCTGATGTTTGATTGCGATGAATGATTTTGTTTCATATTGAACGGTTTGCTGTGTTTTAATAAAGCCCATGCAAGATTCAAAATTCAATATGAAAAACGGATTAAATCACCATTAAAAAACGGGAGAAGGAGAATGGAAAATTATTAATTTTAGAGACTTTTTTCACTTTCAGGTTTCAAAAGGACAAACATTTTTTTTTAGAATTGCAACATATCTAGTTTTTTTATTATTATTTTAAATAAAATAATAAAATAAAATTATATAAAAATAGATTAGATAAAAACAGACTGAAAAGTTCCACTGATTACTTCTGGACTTAACCTAAAATCCGGGCAAAAGTAAGTCTGGCAAAAATACTTCATGTTGCATTCAAATTGCACATTTTAAATATAAAATGCCGTCTTGGCCAGGTCTCCCTCGAAAAAGAGATTTCAATCTCAAGGGACTTCCTGGTTCAATAAAGGTTAAATAAAAAAAAATAAACAATAAATAGACTAAGCAACTGTAAGTTAGTCAAAATAGCTGTGAAAAAAGGCCTTATTGTTTAAAACACGAAAAGCTTGTTTAATCTTTAAGTCTCACAGATAATAAAACAACACAGTGTTTAAAGTGAAAAATTGGTTATTACAATATCCAGGTTGATAGAAACTGTGGAAATCTGAATCTGTTAAATGCAATTTTTGCAAATAAAAAAAAAAACAGTATATATAGAAACACTGGACTTTATGAGTGCTATATCTTACTTAGCTGTTTAAACACCACATGGACATTAGATGGATATTAGAACCAAAAATGAGTTGCTAAAGCCAATCTTTTTAAACTCCAAAGAAACAACTAAATTCAAAAATTTTTATCCATTTATTTAAATTCCCAAAACACTATTTCCCTTTCTAGACTTTTAGGACTACTGCGTGTAATACTATCAGCATTAGCAACTTAATTCTGACTAATTGATTTCATGTTTCATGTGATGGTTTTTAACTAAATTATATCTTTAGTAAATAGACTGATTAGCAAAATCCATTCTTGAATAAATTAATTGCCCCTTTTAGTTTTCTTTTGTTCTTGTAATCCTAACTGAATTTTAATTATTTATTATTGATGCAAAAAAATTTTAATCTTAGAAACTTAATGCAATTTTTGTGTTTTGGTGATATCAATAGCTTAAAAATCCTCATGGTTTCTAAAACTGATTAAAAGCATTTTTATTTATGATCATTACTACAATTTAAGATGGCATGTCAGCCATAAATTTTAAGTTACTTTGGGTGATCTTTTCTCTCATTTCTGTATACTATATATCTATCATTTTTCTTAAATATCCAAGTTTCTTGTTTCTATTTTTGCTGCTGAAAACTAATTTTAAATCTGTTTGTCCTCTCAGACCCTCCCTTGTCAGTGACACACTTCAGGAAAAGCATTGAGTCACCGTAAGTAAAGATGCCTTAAAGCTCCTGCATCTGCCTGAGGTGGCAACAACTTTCCGTTGGTGCCATGCATGCACAAGACATACAGCTGAAATAAGTCGCAGGTTAATGCTGATTATAAGTCGGTTTAAATTGAAAATGAAACCTATGATGATGTTAAGGTTTCTTGTCAGTGTAGAAGAACATTTACAGTTGTGATCACCTGCAGATCATAGGCAAATTTGTTTAGTTTATAGCAGCACAGTTAGCATTTTAAGTACAAGCTGCTGTATGTGTTTTGATTTTTCTTTTCATCTGTATTTTTTAACCTCAAACCACTGTCTGCTTCTTGCATGATTGTCGTGTTTAATGGTCTTGTACATTGTACTGTATCAGTTCTGTGTGTATTTGTCACATTGTAAATTCTTTGTACATGTATGACTGCATTTCAGGCTCAAAACAAGGTCCGTTCTGAACATTAATATGTCTTAAAATCTCATTCCAGTTTGTTTATGAATTTATATTGACCAAAATAATCAGTTCCACTTCCCTGTCCTTATATCTTTATAAAAAGGTGAAGGCAAGTCTGGCAGTTTGCACCTAGTGCTTCATTCAAATAGCATAGTTAGAAATGAACCCGGCCCATGTTGTTTGTCTCCCATCGCAGGCCTCCTCTCACCCCCTTGCCAGGGGTAGAGCCCTGCTGGGACGAGCCTGCCAGGAGCAGTTTCTTGCCCCCTCCGGCCAGCCCCCTGTGAGTGCCTGCCTGCACAGAAATCCAGAGTGTGCTGCCTTGCACTGGCTTGGCTGCATGGTTAAAGCAATGCTTAGAAACTATCATTTGACAGTGATTTCTTTTAGATGTAGTCAAGCATTACTGCATGCACATCCCCTTACACCATACTGGGAGAAGATTACACTAGATATGTTGCACGTACAATACAATACTGTGGATATGCACTAACATGTTTAGCAGATACCACCTTTTCCTTACTTATAAGAATAAAGAATCCAGATAGACTTTAAACCTGAATTCTCTACTTAAAATAATTATTTCTATCTTTTATTACTTTCTTAGGGTCTCCCCCCTCCCCCTTTCATTATCTTTTTAAATGCCCAGCGCTTTACAGGCCTATGACAGTGGATAATATCCAGATTCAAGATTCAAAGACTAAAGTAAAAAAAAGAATGCTTTTTTCCATAACCCATGTTAGGAGTTTTTACTTCCATATTCATGGCTGCTTGCCTTTTTTTTGTTTTTTTACAACTTTAATATTCATCAGCTAATGCATTAAAATGTCTCAACACAGGGGTGCTGTTTGTACTTGGTTAAACAAATATGTTCCATTGAGCCATCTCATTGATCGGACAGCTTGATCGGAGAGTGATTATTTTGGCTTTCCATTTTAGTCCAATCGATGAAGCAGCTTCTTCAATCTCTGCAAATCTTTATGAACAGAAATGTCTTTAATCTGAAATGACAAAAGCAACGTTTCTTTTTAGTTATTTTTTTGTTTTTAACAACTATAGAATATTTAGAGGCATACATCATATCATTAATAAAAATTCAGCCTTGCTGTGATACACTGCCTTGCCAAAGGATTTAGGTAATTTGAACTTTTCCACATTGGGCCTGATCTACTAAGATCCCACATAAGAAGTGCTAAATTGCATCTGCAAATAAACAAAAGAAAAAAAAAACAGCACTTTCTGGGCGTGTTCCCGTTAATCCACAAAGACTGCAGCTGCAATCAATAACATTTAAATAATAAACAGATTTTTCACCATGATAAGTTTGAAAGGGCAGAGTGGCCTAAAGAAAGATGAATTAATGAATTAATTGAATTAATCTCATTTAATGAGAGGTAATAATTATAACAATAATAGAAACTTAAAAAACGTATAAACTACTTACACTGGACTTCACATATATAGCTATAAGGGAGGTGCAAATGAGGAGACCCCCCTGCTCACTTACAGGCTTTTATGATTGTTATCTGCTCTCTGGTGTCTGTAAATGTTCAGTTTTGTTTGTTAATAAACATGTCATAATGTCTAAGCTCAGTCATTTTGTGTTTTCCATTTTGGTTCACTGTGTTGAGATTTTCTGCAGCCCATTTTATCTCACTTGTGCAAACAGGATTTTGCCCCCTTGTCATTGAACATGCAGTAGACCACTACAAACCTCACCAGCGTATCTGGGATATATAAGAGACACTTCTTCAGTGTGATGCTGACATAACAGTGTTTCGCCATAGACTGATGTTGCTCTATAATCCTGCAGCTCCAAAATGTCATTGCAGAAGAGAAGCTAAGTCTCTACTGTTCTTCTAACATTGTTGTTTCTGACAGAAACACACAAACTGTTCTCTCTCTATATTGTCTGCCATTGCACACAACCCTCCTTCTCAACACTATGACTTCAGACATTGTTGTGTGCAAATTTGCGCCTGACTTTTAAACATACAAAGTACTTTATGGAGGCAAAAAACAGATTCCGATATGATTATATTGATTTGAGGAGGGTAAGTAAACATGTTTCCATATTCATCCCCTCATTTCTTTCACATTCTCAAGATGAGCATATTTTCTGCATATTCATAAAGGCAACCTGCTATTCTGCACCTGCACCTTAGAAGAAGCTTTGGAAGTGTTATCAAGTTTGCACCTGTTTTTATACACACAAACCTCCAGCTGCAAATTTCATATTACTTTACAGACATTTTATGAAACGCACCATCTTAAATCAAAGCATTCTAAATGTGCATTAATGTGAAGTGGAAGAAAAAAAACTTATTTTCAAATTGTTTGACAAAAAAAAAAAATGTCTTTAAATCTTTCTATTTAACTGTATTTACCCTAATACTCCCACATAAAGTCAAATGCAATCAGTTATTTGCCTAAAGTCATAGTATAAGTAGTACACATACTGCTTCTGTAATGGAACGCAAATCCGAAGGAAAAAAATACTCCGTAAAGAGTACCACATATTGTGAACAAATAGTATAAGGTTTAAGATAAGTCAATAAGAAAGTCAGGAAGATGTTTAAAGCAACCCATATGGTTGAGTGGCAGCCTAGTGGTTAGGGCATAGGGCTTTGAATACTGAGATTGTGAGTTTGATCCCCCAATCCCACAGACTGCCACTCTGGGTCCCTGAGCAAGACCCTTAACCCCACACTGCTCCCCGGGCGCCGCACAATGGCAGCCAACTGCTCCCCAAGGGGATGGGTTAAATGCAGAGAACTCATTTCATTGCTCTGTACTTGTGACAGTGTATTAACAATAAAATAATGTTATATGGGTATACACTGCACAAATTTGGGTCATCATGCATTTAAAAGTCTGCAGATACTAAATACTTATACTAAAAGTTAGCAATGGGAAAACATTGTGAAACTTGCAGTGCACAGAAAAGTATGCTGTATAAAATGGTGTATAAATAGGTCACCACTTTACCTTCACACACGCCGATTTGCATGGGATTGATCCCAGGCTCACATGTATTTTTGCCTGCCCCTAAAAACACGTGAAAATTTGTATAAATACCCGAAAGGCACCAACCATGAGTCCAAGTTACAGTGACAACTGATCCCCCAATGTGATATCTGGCAGTGGTAGCGTCATGTTGGGTGGATCCTGGGTTTGCTTTGACAGTTTGATCAGATTTGATCTAAAGATAGGTACATTTAAATGCAGTTACATTGGAAGAAAACAAGTTTGAGGCTGCAAAAGACTTGAGGCTGGGGTAGAGCTTCACCTTACAGTTAGACATTAACCCCAGAGAGCCAGAAGTACAATGGGTCATTTTAGATCAAAGCATTTAAATGTGGTAGTCCACTGGACTATTGGCGGTACTGATGGGCACAGAAGCTTTCCATCCAATCTGACTAACTCACCAAGGATTAAAATAAATACATATATTTTTTATTTTTTTTAATCACCATTTTTAAATTAATATTTAAAAAAAGTTAAAAAGCTTTCTGTGGAACTGTCCTAACTAGTTTATAGTTTTTAATTTAACTTAACAAAATTAATACTTTTGCAAAGCACTAAGAGACTTACATTTGCTAACTGTATTACTGAAAAAGCCTTAAAATAAGTAAAAATTTGATTACAGCATCAACGCCTCATCCTGAAAAATAATGACATATTTGATTTGATCACAGTGATTATTGGGGAAAGCACAGTGTATATCTTTTAGGGGTGCTAGACCTGTAACATCCAGGTTTAAAAGGTCTCTTCTCCAATAAGATGTCGAATCAATGGATCTGCAGAGTTGCTGCACTATTGTTGCCCCAAATCAGCAAAAGTAGTTATTTTCTTGATGTAGTTGGTTAAAGCTGCATTAATTCAATGCTCCAGCTTTGTTTTGTCTCATGCTTTAGAAAGTGCAATCATGCGTATTGGTTTGTGGTGTCAAAAATCATTTTTACTCAGGCCTTTTGAGTTTTATCTTTGTTAGGATTTACCCCAGCGCTTTAAATTAGTATCTAAATTATTCTTTCAGGTTATCGTCGGGGAAGATAAGTCCAGAGAGCTCCCCTCCATCTCGGCCCCGCTCTCTATCATCAGAAGGTTCCCATGGTCCAGGCCTGTACGTCAGGAAGCTGCCCAGCCCTCAGAGAGAAAAGGACAAAGAGCTCTCCTTCTACAAGAAAACCAAGCGTGCCATAGCCAGCAAGAAATACAGTGTGTCCAAACATGAGGCAGAGGTCACCACGCCTATAGAGCTGATAAGCCGAGGCCCCGATGGCCGCTTTGTTATGGAGACAAGTCCGCCTCCCCGCCGAATCCAGGGCTTCCCCTTTGCAGAGGAGTCCGACATGTACCCAGAGTTCCGGCAGTCGGACGAAGAGAATGATTTTGACCCTGGGCCTTTGCCACCCATCATGCCCACGCTGCGACCCCAACTCTCCCCAACGTCCTCCAGCCTGGAGTCAACGCAGCCCCCCACCTACAGCCCTCGCCTACACAGGCCCATGGAAGGTATGAGCTTTGCAGAGGGCAGCGCACCTTACGCCTCAGGGCAGGCCCCAGCCTCCCGCTACAGGGGCTTTCCCCAGGGCCTGTTCTATGGTTATCTAGGCAGTCGTGCTGAATCAGGGATTCCACCACCATTCTACATGCCTGACATCAGCCCGCGTAGCTCCGCTCTTTCCTCACCACCAGGCACAGCTGAGGGGCCCTTCGGTTACCCCTCCATCCCTGAGGAGAGTGAAGGATTGGAACACCATCAGTACACTGCCTCTGGCCATTCTCTGTCACACACTCACAGCCCTCCTCTCCGCTCACCTGAAAGCTGGCAGCCTCATGAGTTACCCTTTCTGGGCCTAGAGGGCCCAAGGTTCATATACCCACCTCACCATCCCCTACATCACCCCCAGGACCTCCCTGACCCACCCCCATACCCTCCCCATACTCTCCCCCCTAGTCGCCTGCACCTTCCACCCCTTAGGGATCCAACGAGCCCTGGACTCCTGCAACTGGAGGTCCCTGTGGCTCCACCAGGCAGAGACAGGCCCCCAGGGCCTCCAGTTAGGCGTTTAGCTATGCAACAGGCCCAGAGTCTCGGCCAGCTCAGACACACGGCCCACGGTGTGGGTGTACCAGTGTTGCCTTACCCTGACCCGGCAGCCCGTGCAGGGAGCCCAAGCACAGCCCCCAGTAGTAGCCCTCAGTCTTGGCTCAGCCCGAGGGCAGGGCGCCGGGCAGACCCCAGCCTACCCCCACTAGTACTACAACCCTCCCGTCTTTCTCCACTCTCCCAGAGCCCACTCAGCACCCAACCAGGTTCCCCAGATATTCTAGTGAGACCCCCTCCACGTCACGGCATCCTCCGTACCTCTCGGTCTCTGGAGATGCCCGAGATCACCCTGCAGCCCTCAGCCACTGTTAGCTTCTCTCGGAGATCCTCGCTGACTGCCTCTCCCACTCAGAGTCAGGGCGCCAAGCAGCCCAGCCCCAGTTACCCCATGTCCTATGCCTCCACTGCAGCCAGTTACCCTTCTCAGTCCCCCTCTCCCCCTCCAGAGGGCAGGGATGTTTTTGGGCAGAGGCCATCCCAGAGACGGACAGAGGAGGAGATGCTACCCTCAGAGCCCTCCCAGCTCCAGATCTCAGCCTCAGGGTAGGTGATCCATTCATGTAGACGATACATTTTATTTTTTTAAGGAGGCTTTTCTCCTTGTCTGATCACTTCTTTTAAAATATCCTTTGTATTTTTCCAAATTTTTGCCTCGGTGTTTCAGTTTAGTAAACTTTATGATGCATATTCACTCCAATATGCAGAAGGCATGTAATTGCATTTAGCACACACTGAAAGTTTAAAAAAAGTAGCTGTTTTCTATCTAGGCAGTTAACTAGGATGTCAGTACAAAATTAAGATTAATACTTTGTTTTATTAACAAACGCATCTAAATAATAAAATCAAAATAGTGGTAGTACTGCTTCTTAGTTTTTGAAAGTATACTAAACTACTAGATTTTATCGTTTCGTTATGATGTATTTATTTAAGCATTTGACAAAAGAAAATGTAGCTTCAGTTTGATCTAAATCATTAGTGACCATAGTGAAATTGAAAAGATGATTTGGGTACACTTAGTTTATTATTATTTTTTTTACTAATGACAAAGATTGTTCCTAGTCTGGGATTTGACATATTTTAATTTCCATTGGCAGGACATTCAGTTGTTCATTTTTTTCCCCATTTAACTAATTTCTTTTGAGAGGAGCGCAGCATTTACCCTTTTTTAATATATTATTTGGTTATTAGGACATCTGAAAAATTTTTTTGTTTATTCAGGATGCATTATTTTTATTTATTTAACTTTTTTTTTTTCTCATTTCATTTTTTTGCTTATTTTATAGAACGATATACAGTATTTAGTTACACTATACATAAAAGTAAAATATTGGTCACTAAAAGAAAAACAATGAGATCACTTCTCATGCTGAAGAAATGCTTCTTTCTTTCAGAGTAGCCTTTCAGCCAATTTTGATGCAGCACACAATGAGCTTTGATGCAAATGAACTTCTACCACAATCCAAAATCAAAATAAAAGTTCACATTACTTTTAGCTCTGGGACACAGAGCTCATCTCCTTTCTGATGTTGTTATGACTGAATATTCCCATTTTTATACCTCTGTATAATGATGTCAACCTTGCCTAGCACCTTCAACCATTATTTTCCCCTTGCATTTCTGTGTTGCCCTTCTAATGGACTGGAGACATTTAAAGAATTTACCCTGCCTTCGTTCCAAAGCCTGCTGCAGATAGCAAACAAACTCCCTCCAACTCCTAGAACAAGACGGACATGTTGCCTTAAAAATGCCCACAGATGTGCCTTAAAATAACTCAACTATTGTGAATTAAGACCAGAAACTTAAAAAGACATAACAGTAGGCAGGTCAATCTGTCTGTATGTAAACTTCTGACTTTGATTAGGAAATAAAAATGTCTCTCATTAAATGCCTAAATAATTTAAATAGATTTGTTTGTTCTTAAACAAGAGACGTTTAATCTGTTACACCTTTATCAAGGTTTAATTAAGAAGTAGCACTAATCCTGAATTAGCAAAGTAACCTACTGTTAAAGAGCATAGTTTAAGGTTTTGTTGAGCCAGCTTCCACAGAGAAGATCTCATTTGCATTGTAAAACACTTCCCAGGTCCTTAGAAGTGTTATTTGCAATAATCTGTGGTTAAAAAGATACATTTAAAATACAGGATGAGTGATTTCCTGCAGAATGAATGAAACAATAACAAATTAACTTAAAAAATGCATTTAGAAGGAATGCATTCTTTTGAAATAAAGAAAGTTAGTTGAGCAATATATAAATAAAGCAATGAATAGAATGCTGTGGCTTTCAAGTAAATAATTTCTAAAGATGTTCCAGTTTATCAGAGGCATAGCAACATATACTTAGATGACCGTGCCCCTATAAGTGTCTTGCAAAACTAGTCATACCTGTTGATTTATTTATTTATTTAGTTTTTACATTTGACAGCCACCAACGATGATGTGTTTTATTGAAATGCTGTGTAGGGGATAATGACAAAGTATAAAATAACTATGAAGTAAAAAAAAAAGCCCTACGTGCTTTTAAACACTTCACAAAGAATATTCCTAATTTGTACTCTATAGTCAATGCTTTATACGATGATTTTGCGCTGATAAAAACTAACCTGACATCATGATGCTGCCACCACCATGTTTCATCACTGGGATGGTGTATTGACGGTACATTTTTTCTTAGTTTGTTTATTGTCAGACAGACCATTTTAAATATAGACAGGAAACACCTGCTTTGGTTTCATCTGATCAGAGAACTTCCACTGGTTTACAGTGTTCCCTACTTGGCTTGTGGCAAACTATTAATTGGACTACATGGAGTTTTCTTTGAACAGTATCTTTCTTCTGTTCACTGTATCATTAAGGTAAAGAGATTTAAAAGCTGTGGATCTCTGCAGCTCCTCCAAGAGCACATTGGCTGCTTGTTTAATTTATTCTAGAGTTGTAGGTAATATGGGTAGAAGATCATGTCTTTAAACATTTTATTTTTACCATGCCCTTTCCTTTTTTTGAACCATGCAGGAGCAAATTTTGTTTCTGAAACATGGTGGTGGCACCATCATCTTGTGTTGATTTTTTTTTTTTCAAAAATATACCAAAAATCCCTCTTTCCTCGTGTGCATTTCTTGGTTTGGACCTTTATGTAAAATATAAATAGATTTTTTTTTTTTCAGGGTTTGTGGTTGAATGATGACAAAACATAAAATATTTTAACAGGTTTGAAAGTGTTTGCAAGGCGCTGTATAGATAATGAAACACAGAACCTTTTTTTTTTTTTAGGTTAATGTGTATTTTCCAGCGAGTTTCTTTTCTGTCCACAAACCTGAGCCCCCTTACCCCCACCTCACTGACCTAGCAACCAGGACCTCACCTGAGCTCAAACAGCTGATTCCTGCTTCTACATTATCACTGGCCATTAAGAGAGAGTAGCTTATAAGGCTGCTGCTTTGTAGAGGGTAAGGGTCTTACCTGATTTGTTTTTGATTGATCTCAGCTATCTGGGCAGCGTTGTTGTGACCCGGTCCCCTACGCCACAATAGGTAAGGGTCGGACCCATGTCTGAGAGGGGAGGGGTCAGCAGGGGGAGGGCTCTAATCACTCTCTTCTTTAAAGGGGAAACACTTTGGATTGTGCCTCTGTGCTGGATTCAAGCAGGGAACAGTAATGGTAATCATGGCCGCCGGACATATTTGTCTACACAGTTTTAGCCTGCTGTGGGGTAGCCTGTTTTAATTGAGTTTGAAGACTCGTTTAAACAGAATAAGAATTTTGATTTGAAATGAATGTAGTATGAATACATTATTCAATCCCTACAGTGAAAAAAGGGAGAAAATTAAAGGCTTAAATCAGTAGAGGATGAACTTAAAAAAACAGACTGGAGTATTCCCCTTTAAAGTTTCGTTCCATGTGCAAAATGCCATGCATGCATTCTTTAAACTCTCTTTTTGACCAAACAAATAACAACAAATCTCAAACTAAATTCTCTGTTACATCTGTTGTCCTGAGTGCTTTCGTTCTTTCTGTCATGTGACCGTTTTTTAATGGCCATCTCCTCCTCCTGTCATGTAACTCGTTCTTTGACGGCCATTTGCTCTTCCTGCCATCTCCTCCCGTCAGCATGGTGAAGCCTTTGTACGCAGTGTTCATGTTGATGAAAGTGTGCTGTATAGTGTCTGTATGGAAATGTACTACATTTTAACACACTATGGCTTCCGCACACAGTTGATCTTAAAATGATTTTATGTTTTTTTTCTTCTGTACGGGACTGTTTGTCAGATTTGTCTCTCCCCCTCCCCCCTTTGCTAACGACTCTCGATCTTCTCTCCACAGTGACAAATTCTGGACAGCATCTATAAAGCTTTGTGTTCCTCTCCCTTTCTAATGCACTACTTTTTTGATTCAAACACTTGACATAATCGCAGCATAATATCAAGTTTTGAATTTGTTAGTATTCAGACATGTGGCCTTATTAGATTTGTGATGTTGTGCAGTTTTATTTGCCTAGTGAGATAGATTACACATTTAAAGTGCTTCTTTATAGGATACAGCTTTACAAAGAACAGAATATGAAAGTCAAGATACTTAAGTTTCGTATGATTTCTCCCTGTGCTGATTTAAGTGATTCTATTCAGGAATCAGGCCTGTATTCCTCATTGAATGAAAATAATCCCTGTTCAATTCATTTTTCATTGATAGAAAAAAAACACCTATTTGAAGGGGTTGGCAGTCTTCTGAAATGTGTCAAAGGATTTACTTACTTGTGTGTTGGGGGGGCAGGTGTATTATTTTCTTGGTGAGTCTCCGATAGAAGATAATCTGAAATGGAGTTTAATCTTAGGCTGAAACAACTAATCGGATAAATCATGATAAATATATTATTGAAATAATCAAGAACTAATGTAGCAACAGATTCAAATTTAACTGGAGTATAGAGATTCTTAAATATTTCTTGAGCTGTTAAAGAAACCCACTTATAGAAGTAATTTTACCACAACTGTAAAATATTAAGGCTGCAACTAACAATTATTTTGCAGATTGATTAATCTGTGGATTATTGTTTTGATTAAACGATTAATAATCGGATAGCAAAAAGTTCCTGGAAAATTTTTTAGAAAATTAAACCAGGTGAAAATAAAACCTTTGCACTGCAGGGGTTTTAGAGCATATTGACAGATAAAAACGTTATTTATTTAAATCTTGAATGCAAAATGTTTATATATATATTTTTTTCCCAATTTAGATATAATTACCGCTCTCAGTGGGTCGCTCTGTCAGCTAAAGGCATATTTTACCGTCTCTAACCTCCAGTTAATGATTAATTGTTTAATAAAGTAGTTGACAATTATTTCAACAATCCGTTAATCACAATAAATCTGATTGTTTCAACCTTAAAAATGTATATTCATATTTATATATAAGATGGAAAAAAAGTATTTTGTTTGTCAAAATGCTCTATCCAGAACTTTTCAAGTAGAAAAAGTTTTAGTTTCACCTGGTGTAGGTCTCTCTAAAAAAAAAATCTTTAAAGAACGTTTTGACATCCGCTTATTAATCAAAAAAATAAACAATTGAAAGATTAATCATTTATCAAAATTATTTCTATTTGCAGCCCTAGTATAATGTAGCATTTATATTTCGTCTTCTCTGGGCTCCAGGTCCTCATCCATTAACTATACTCTGGCTTTTTGTCACTTTCTCCTTCCATTTTGTCCAGTAGATGGTCTATGTAGTAAATATTTTTCCTCAAAGTTTAAAAGTGTGATTATGGGAATTTAAGAGGATTCCTTTAGAAGCACATTTGTGAGGTCAGAGATTGTGTTGGACATTGCCTGTTTCCACTTTCCTTATCTTAAGGTTAGTACTCTGTGTGTGCAAGTCAAGCGTCTCCAAAGTGAACAGGCTCATCCACGTCTTTAGATGCAGCTTCTAGCAAATGGAAAGCTATTCCCTAAAGCTTACTGACCCCGAATTAATCTAAAAGTCAGTTAAAATCTAAAAGTCTTCAGCTATTTAATCTGCAACAAGTGGCAACCTCTGCTCACTACAAGCCTCAGCAAACACAGATTCAACTCCAGTGATTCCAGTAACTTTAGATTCACAATAATCAATCAATTGAACTAATTGAATGATTATTAAAACTAATTTAAAAACATCATTTTTGGGAATGACTATGATCTGGATGACTGAGAATCTTCACCAGCATATTACTCTCTCACAAATCTTTGTAGACACAGCCCCCTTGGCTCTGTGTTGTAATTTGTACACCTTTGGCCATTGCATTGCTTTTAACAATAGCTGAACTATTGTGTTGAAATATTTTAGTACATTATATAGATAAATAGTCCCAAATTGCTGGAATCTAACGAGCCTTTAATTTCATTGCATTTAATAAGGTGTTCTTTGTTTTGTTAGAGTCATCGGTCACTTTCAGTTTAGGGCAGTTTAGTTCATTTTCACCTGCTGATCTGTAAAGTCTGAACTATAAACAAATGTATACTTTTTTGTTAAAAATAAATATTAAATAACATCGCCAAAAAACTCAAATATTGTGAATTAGGAAAAGAAAAAGACCTGGAAAGATCCCCATTTTCTCGTTTACTAATATAATTCATTGATAAGGCCCCACTTTACTTTTGCATCTGTAAGACTTTATAAATGCTTAGGATTAATTGGTTCAATAGTCAAAAGAAAGTCAGCATTTAATGTTAACCTTTTTATTATAACCCTAAATTAAAGTAATAGAGGCACAATTTAAAAGGCTTCCAACCCCCCCAACTAACTGTGTGTCAAATATTTTGGTATTGGATGATCTGAAGATAAACTATAATAATTATTTTTACACAAGAAATTAATTTCACCCATAATCCTCAAGTGGTCACTAATTAAAGACCCAAAATATGGGCAGAATATGCAATTCAAGTCTTAGCGCACCAATTACAAAATGTAATCCTGATCTTTAGCACTGTAGGTAAAACAAAACAGAGTAGTACCTGTACAAGTACAAATATGTGCCTGAATCCTTTAGATTGGATCTTTAATGTTGTGACCATTTGAGAGCAGTAGAAATTTCAGAAATTACACCTTCTGTCGGCAGGCCTTTTTTTTTCACTTTCCCTTCTTCCTTTATTTTCTCTTTCCTCTCTAACTTTTATCATCCATCAAAACAGATATAGACTGGAATCTCATCATCTTAGTGAAATGACTCTCAATAGAAGTCTGAGTCCTCATCAATTATGTGATAGCAGCTATGGACGTAGCAATGGAAGCAATATTTGATCTTTTTCAATGTGATGTGATTTAACAGACAGCCAGATTAAAGCAGCAACACATGCTTTGCTGTCTCTTCTCGTCCTTTCAGGGAACCCTTAGGTGCGTCTAGTGATACTGCCGGGTCTGAGAGCCTAACAGCACTGCTACATCACTGTATAACTAAAGCCAAGGGAGTGGCCACTAACAACAATAACAACGCAACATCTGTGAGAAGAACAGGTTAGTCTGAAGGTGTTGATTACTCTGCTTTTCTCCATTTCCTTTACAGTTCTTTTTTTTTATCCTACTGGGTATGAAAGGCTTGTAGTTAACATATCCTTTTACCAATTGGGATTGGTGTTTCCCACCAAACATTACTTATCCATCACTTCCTACTTCTATTTCACAGCAGTATACAAGCGGTTCACTACCTCTGTGTATAAACAATTGAAATACCCAATTTTTGGGTTTTTACTTGAAAAAACATTTTTAAACATAATACTGGTTAATTTAGTTTACATTATCTAACCACCTGTTGGTACTCAGAGAGGAATGACACATTAATAGTTGATGGTCAGATGACCCATGAAATTAAAAGTAAATCAAATGAGAATGTGAGGTCTTGGAAAAATGATTAAAAAAAAAGGTTTATAGCTCAACGCTTTAGATTCCAGACTTTGGGTTCCAGAACAGTAGAACTAGAATGAGTGGGAGATGGAGTTAAGAAATAAATAGAATTTAGAGGTCAATAAAATCTGTTTTGTTTCTCCGTGTTTCAAACTGGTTAGAAAAAAATGAAAATTTTTATGTCTGACAACAGGGCGGGCAGTACTTTAGCTAAACATTTCTTTTGCTTTTAAAAAAGAACATCTGTATAGAATTACTGTACATAGGCTTGAAATATAAATTACGTAAAAATCTTTTCCTATTATTATTTTCTTCCAATTTGCCGTTCCTGTATTTGGGAAGCTGAACAAGTATGGAAAGCCAAAAGTGCCACATATACAATAAAAAAGTGGAAAATGTAATTTTTGTAAATCTGAAAATTCCAGTGTTACTTGAGTTGCATGCATTAATTGAATAAAAAGTTTTTTTTTAAATCCTAATTAATAAAAATGTTAAATGTCGTTAATTGAAGTTATCAATCAATGAAATACATAATTGCATAGTCATTATGATTTTCTTTCTCTTCTTTATTGCAAAACAAGATATTTCTTGCTTACAGAGAAGGCTGGTCAAAAATATACATTTTTAGGTATGATTTTACCAAACGAGTTTACAGTATTTGTACTGTTAAATACTTATATCAGGTATTGTTGGTGAGCATCTTTATTCCTTCCATGAACTGTTATTATTAAATATATTTTACTATACAACTTTTATGATATAAATAGAAGAGATCCCATTTAAAAATTAAAGTTAAAAGTTAAAAAATTCCAGAATAGTTCAAAAGATAATCAAACACTATGGATTTCGATATGGATGTGGGGTAGCTAATAGGTTGCAAGCAAACAGGTGTCACTTAATTTCATAAAAAAATGAAAATTATCAATCTCCAGAGACTGGAAAACCGATGGATTAGACATGTCCAATTAACTAAAATGGCTGTGAGTCACTCAACATGGTACTCAATAGGTCCAACTCCCCTTTGTGTTTGTATGCATCCTGAAAAACTTTAAGCACACTTGTTATGCCATGATAAATGATGATAGCAACGTTGCAGTGTTATATGATGACAATGTTGGAGGCAGCATAATGTTTACCACAGCTTCTCCAGATCCTATTCGGTTTGTCCCATGAGCACAGATTAAACCTCACCATTCTTTTACCAGCAAAAGAACCTGTGCAAATCAACTAAGTAAATCAACACTTTTTGAATTGTATGTATTTTGGGGTTTTCTCATTGTTTTAGGTTCTTGTAGCAGCACTCCCTGCAACAGTTCCTGACCAATATTTCTATCTTTATGGCCTGATGCTAGGATTGGTAATAGTTAGAAGGTAACTTGGATAATACTTTAAATAGTTTGCTTGCAGGTATAAAATGAGAGTAAAGAATGGACAAAATGTGTGTGTATAAAGTGGGGTAAGGAAACAACCCAGATACTTAGTCCTGGAGTCACGGATGAGTCCTAAGGCGGGTTTTGGAATAACCTCCCTGCCTCTTTTGCAGGCTTATCTCCCTCTCAGACCCAGCAGCAATCTCAGACACCCAAAGAGGGAGAAGATCCCAATCACCACATAAAGAATAAAAAGCAAAGCAAGAACCCATACAGCTACTTGACATCGTTCCTGCATCGCAGGACGTCTGAGGAGGACCAGACAGGCATCCTAGCCAGCGCAGACTCTGAGGGCCCAAATTATGGAACTCTACGCTGATCTTGTGCTCATCAAGCCATTGGACCCAATTAAACTGGCCGCTCATGGGAAAAAAATACAAAACACCTCAGCCCTTCCTGATCAGCCACAACGACAAACACAGGTTTCATATAATCCGTATAAGCTGATATGTGTATGAGGAGCAGCAAAGTGAATCCTCCAGGCGCCAGAAGTCTCATCTAATGACAAGAACAGTGGCTTTTTATCTTTGGCATTTCACTTGAACAAATGCTCTGAAAATATATAATGTATATAAATTGTAAAACAAGGGAATTAAGCTTCCTCTTACAGTAATAAAATGTGTTGGTTGAGTATGTCACAACACGTTAAAAAGATTTCTCACTTATCATTGAGGGGTTCATATCTTTAGGTTTTTCAGTGAAACAGTGTACTGTTAAAGCCTGGTGCGTCCTTGTACAGGGACACAAGTCTACCTTTCCTACAATACAAATAGTGTCAGTCTTTAAACACAGGGTTCTTACCACAAAATATACCTCAGAGTAAACGCAGAGTTGCTGTAATTCTTGTGGTATACTGTACGTACTTGACCTTTTTACACTCTAAAGGTACAGATAAAAAGGTTTATAATACTCACTGCTCATTCAAATGGATAATATGGCCTAGCTTAATCTTATTTGGATGCTTTTTATTATTGCAGTTGGTACATTGCATTTACTTTGGGTTTGAGTAGAGACGAGCGGTAGCTCTGTGTCGTTACGCCTATTGTCGGGGCACAGCATAATGACTAAATATTATAGCCTTCATGAGATCTGTTATAAAAATTTTGGGACTTTAATGCTCAGCAGAGGTTGTTCTTGAGCAATGAAACAAAGTGAAGTGTTTGTATGTATCTCATTATTAAGGAATCATTCGCGTAATTGGGCACATCTTAAGGTGCCTTTTTTTGCCTTTTATAGTTTTGTTTTGTTTTTCTCTGACATAAACTGCCTTTTTTTAGTCGCCTTCTTATGTTTGTCACTCTAAGTGAGTTAGAACTCCAATATATGTATTTTATTTTATTTTTTGCCAAGGACACATGAACGAGAGAATGCATATGTCTCATTTAGTTTGTTCTAACAGTATCAACATACTTGTAAAAAAAAATGGGGAGTCAAGAAATCCCAAGCAACTGCACAGTGACGACGGCAAAGTTTTTAGAGCGGAATGTGATTGCTTTATTAAGCTGTAAAACAAGCAATGGGAAATATCCAAACGAATGGCCACCCTGACTGTTTATCTCTTACAACTGTATATTAATTGCTAGCTACTTCTCTATATGTTTGCTAATTTTTTGACACTAACCGATAATGAATGTATGTTTTGCTGTACAGGAAATGAATGTCCCTACGTCACAGTGCATTGAATGACCTGTCATAATGCTTACGTAGTGCAGCTGCGTTTTTGCTGAGATGACCAGTTGGCAAAATATGTCCAAACCCCTGTATTCAATGCCCAAGTCGTTTTCCTGGTGACCACATTTGCTGATGATATTAAGGTGTTCTTTTATTCTTTTCCTGATATTCTTTTCCTTTCTCTATTTTGTTTGATCATTTTGCTAAGGCTAGTCACTTAAGGACACATCAGACTGTGTTTTTGATTTTTTTTATTATTTTACGAAATCAACTTTTTTTTTTTTTTGCGCTAAATCTGAGGTTATCCACAAGGGAGAAAGTGGTGATTGCTTAAAAGCGAGTGACAAACAATAATTGTTTTCATGTAAGATACAAGGAAATAATCTATATTTGTTATGTACTGTACATGGTGTGTATTGTATTTGTAAAGAAAAACTGAACCATGTTTTACAGGAAGACTTTCTTGTATGGGGACGTATGAATAGAAAAAATGGGACAGATATCCCAAGTCGAAAGTAATTAGATTATATATCAAAGTATTTGCTTACAATACGGCTTTAAGTGGAAGTTTAAAAAAAAAAAAAACATTTTAAGGTGCCTAATTTGTCATACTTTAGCAGACATTATTTTATCTGAGAAGAAAAGTACACTAAATGTTAGTACCGTACAGTGTATTATTGCCATAGCCCGCTGGCTGCACAAGTTGAGTCGTATTTTCTCTGAAGTATTAGTACGTGGATACCCATTTGGGGAACACTTTAGAAGCAGAAATTTGTTGCCCTCTATTATATATCTGAAACAAAGTAATAATGTATTTTGCCCGTTGATGAGCACACGTGCAGACTCACTCCAGTTTTCTTCACCTTCACTTGTCCAAAGCAAATAAACCTGAAGGAAACATTTAGTTTTTTTTTTATTTGTTTGGTTTCCTAAAAGCAACGGACATGCTGTAGACATGTACAAAACGTGCTGTGGAGGAAATTGTGTTTACATTAGTTTGAAGAAATACAGTGTGTTAGGGCATAGTTGCTTTGAACATTACGACTTGGTGCTATGTTTAACTTTGTGGTGCTGTAGAATAGGGGTCTCAAGATTTATTTCTGTTTCTAGAAGGAACTTTTTTCTCCATCTCCTCTGTGTGTTTGAGCAGCTAAACTAGCTCTGGTAGACATTGTCCAAATCTTAACAGTGTGACTACAGTGATAGACAATACTGGAATAAGTAGACATATAACCTTGATTAATAGACTTGTGACATTCAATGAACTCAAAATGACCTGTTTTCTACAGTGTGTTTTTGCTATGTCTGTCTGTGCTTCCAAGGTACCCTCTCTAAAATATATTTGTGATGATACTGACATTATTAACCCAGCCTAAATGGGAGAAACTTAGCCTGACTTAGATTAGTACTGGTCAGAGGACACAAGGGAGAGAATCTGAGAGCACCTTTGGTTCAGGTCAGGTGGGGGGATCTTTTATACACACTTCCTGTACAGTGCTGTGAAAAAACATCCCTTGCTTTAAGATTTTTTCAATCTTTGTTTTTTTTTTTTCTTGCTTTAGATCATCAAGCACATTTGATATCAAATGTGGTATTGACTGATATCAGTCAAGTATGACCTGATTGACCTGAATGCAAAATTTGTTTGTTAAATGAGGGGAAAAGGTTATCCATAAGTCATGGAACTACAGCATGTGAAAAAGTATTTGCTCCCAACATTGCTGAGTAAAAAGTTGACTGATTTCAACAACATTATATGAACAACTAGGCTTAAATTTACTAGCCATAGCAAGGAATTACTAACTAAATATTTGCATTGCATTACTGCCATACCAGTAGAATAGAGAAACCACAAGTTGGTTAGAAGGACAAAGTGACCTAAAGAGATTTGAGAACAGATGAGAACCAAAGTTAACGAAATATACCTGTTTTTTAAATATACAAACATAAATACATAGCAGCATGATGGTCTGAGCTGCTTTACAGTCGGACCTCCCATTCTTGATGCAACTGTTAGTTCTTCTCTCTAGCAAAGTATCCTGATTGAGAATTTTAAACTGATACTTCACAAACTTAAAAACCAAACAAGTAAGTCCAAATTGAATGCAAGTGGTCTAGTTTGGATTTAAGTCTTATTAAGATGTGACATAAGCTTATGGAGATCATAACCAGGAATTCAATGTGGCTGAATTAGAACAGTTCTGCAGACAAGAATGAGTCAATATTCGTTCACAGTGATGTGAAGGTCTTACTGTCAGCAAAAATGCTTAATGTCAGGCGTTACCCAGGATGGTGGGCACAACCGGTTATTAGGTTTAGAGACAATTCCTTTTTCATATGGGGTCTGTTTTTTGGATAGCTTTTTTCCTCAATAAATATGATTTTGTAACTCTAACAAGTAAACAAAAAGAGGAAATCTGTAAGAGGGATATGCTATTCCACAGCACTGTAGCTCTATGGTCAACAGCACTTGTTTTTTCAAGCACACTACTACTACTAGAGACGCAAATGTCTCGTATCCACCCATCCGTAACTTTTTTAAATAAAAAAACTATTAGTACTGTACAGTTCAGCCACGAGTAATTTAATTTTGCATTTATTCCCAGTTAGAAAAGCTCATACATCCCCACTGCAGTTTTTTTGGTTTTTTTTAAAAAGATGCCGTCTTCCGGGCTTCACAATATTCAGCGGGAACATGTAAAGTGTTTAAGAGGGCTGCTTTGGACGTACTGTTAGCTACGTTTTCTGAACTTTGTTTCTCTTTTTTGTTTTGGGGGTGTTTTCGACTTACGGCTTTTAGTGCATCACTAGCTGCAGATAGGATGATATTTAACAGATTTGATTCTTTTTTTTTTTTATCGTGTTTATCTTGCATGTAGAGAGAATTACAAAAACGCCTATTTAGCAATCATTCATGGCCATTTGAGCTGATTGGTTATTGGACGGAAGCTAGAAGTATGTAGAATTTTCTATATTCATTTTTTTATTTTCTTTCTGTTTTACATGTGTACCAGCACTGAGAAGCTAGAATGTATAATTATCGTAGGCTACAATAAGCACTACATTGTTGACTGTTTTAGCGCATACACAAGCAAACCCAGTAGAGTTTAAAAGAAATGAGAACTCCCCATGTTTCTTTTCTCTTTCAATCCATTGAACTCTTTGCTGTATATCACATGTTTACATTCTGTATCATCCATGTTATTATTTGGATCATAATGTCCATATGTAAATATTCAGAGCTAAACGTTTCTCACTTTTCCCTTTTTTTAATGATAACCCTGTTTTTTTTTTTTTTAAGAAATCTAATTCTATTCTGTCACCGCATCAGGTTTTTCGATGCTTTACTTAACTTTTCTTTGTGAGCAATTAACTCATACTGTATGGTGCTGTACCAAAGCCTTATGTATAATATCTGTTTTAGTTTTTCTTTTATTTGCCACTGCTATCCAGTGACTCGTCTGAAATCATGTCTTGTTCACTATTCATGTTCAACTGCCATGAATTAATTATTTTTTTTCTGTATATTTTCTCTTTGAGTAACTAGAAACCTGAACGAACTAAAATAAAAAAAAGCAAACCCTGGCTTGTTACAAAAACAGGCCTGGATGTACAGCTGCAGTCGCCATCACAAGCCTTTATAGGGGGAAAAATGCACAGGCTCACTCCTGGTGGCTCATCATGACGTAGACATGGGCCTAGCACATGATCTATGCTCTATCTATGGCATGTCTATGAGAATATGAACGCAGTGTTGTATCCCTGTCACCATATCATTTCAAATGCTTAGTCCTATACAAGATTTTCCTCTCAAATTTTTGTATTTTGATATAATAAAAAAAATCAAAAGAGGCATAATTTTTGTTGTGTTTATTTGACTGTGCTCATCTTTTAGCATCAGAACTGGGACAATTTTTCTGATTTCACCAATACATTAAGGACCGTTTGAACCTAAGCTGGACATTTTGTTTGCCTTCACTTTGTTTTAATAAGGTGTAAGTGAGTTAGGTTAACGTTAGGTTGGAGTATGTACTGATAATGGTTAGTGTTAGGTTTAGGGATATTGACAGGGTTAGGGCATATAGAAAGGGTTAAAAATGGTTCAAGATTAATGGAAGACAATGGGAGTCAACACATGGTCTTCACTGCATATTGCAAGATGAGAATGAGTGCGTGTGTCCATTATGATGCTGCAGTTCAAATGCTGGACACAGGGGGGTGAGTGTTGACCAGAAACTGGATAATGATGTGTCATAATCAGGTCAAGTTTTCTACTCTTTTTTTTCCTTTTAAGACAAAATAGAAGTGCAAAAGTACTATATTCATTTTTCCAAAGGAAAAACAAACACACATACAAATAAAAAAAAACACTTGAAATCTGCTCTTAGACATTTCATAAGGATTTAATTTAGAAAAAAGGAGGATAAATTCAAGGAATGTCTTTGTGTATTTACCCACTTGTTAGGGAATGAGTCCAAAACAGGAATAAAAGCAACCTTAAAGAAAATGGAGCTCCTCCAGAGCAACCTTTGCACTTTGTTTGAATTATTTTAGGCACAACGAAAAGTAAACAAATGAGCAGCCATCTGCATACACCTGAGCAACATATAAAGTTCAGTTAATCCACTGTTCAAACACTAAGCCGCCCTAAGGCAATGATGGCTGGATTAAAATCCTAAATGTTGAACCGTTAAAAGTTAGTGCCTTGTATGCTTATTCTTAAATTTGCTATACATACATACTACCAAAGGCATTTATTACACTCAACTTAAAATAATGAAATAAAATGCATTTATCATTAACTTAATTCTCAAATAGATTTTATGGTGTATTTCTGCTTTTATTCAATAGTGAATTCATAATTAGCTATTTAAGATATTACAGAATTGAACAAGAAGTTAAATTAAAGAGTAGGAACAACAGTTCTTGTTGAAAATCCAGCAAGAATAAATAAAATGTGTCCCAGGAAAGTGGACTAAATGTTGCCCAAATGTAGATTAATTACTTACTTGAGTTGTTTGTTTTTCAGTGTTAAAATGATATGAGTTTAGTGTGAACAGCATAGGGAGACTGCACCCTATAGTGATGACTCATTAAGGCCCACCCACAGCTCCACAATTAAAATGTTATGTTTTAAGTATTTCTGGAACGAAAGATGTATTTACTTTATTTTAACACTTAAATGTTTCAGATGAAAACCAGTGTTTCAAAATCTGG